ATTGCTCTTATTGTCCTTAAAGGAGTTTGCAGCCGGTGATAAATCTTTTAAATTCAATCTCCAAAAGTACGCACAATGCCGACATGTGGCGAGAAAATGCGCAGAGTAGTGGCGCTATTCATTAGCACAGCATTTAGCCAATATTGCAAACAGAAGCGAGATACGAGATTAAATTGTCGCTCTCAAATCCCCTTATCCACCACTAATGCTCACTTTATCGGCGATGTGGTTTAATTGAAAATTTCGTAATCAATTGCTTCTGCAATTCTCAAGAAAGAAGGATGTAGAGCTTAAAGTTCTTCTTCAACACGAGGCGCGATTAAAATGTTTATTTAATTAATCTAATTTGGATTGTCATCGAGAATATCATTTTGCGTCTTCTGAGATTATCCTGGGAAATTATCTGAATAAATAATAAAGAAATGTAATTCAAATCGAAGCTGTTTTCAACTTCTTTAACATCATAAAATCAGTGACATTGTTTTGGACTTTTATCGCAAAAATTTCTCTAGTAAAAAATTAGGTACACGCTGCAAAGAAGAGAGATTCAAGAAAAACATAAAACAATTTATTTTCCCATGTAATAAGTTTGCATAGTTGTACCATAAAATATAACATATTTTTTCAGTGAAGAAGAAAATAAGGTCTTATCATTCCAAAGCCTTTGGAAAGAAGTTCCAGCAATTTGCATACTTTTCTTTAAAAAGCTTCCAAATGTACCCAAAAAGAACTTCCCTTTGATCTCGCAAATTACGATATAAAAGGTCTTTTCATAGTCTTTTCGCACGGGAGAGAAAAATTACCTGTAAATGCTTTAAGACTTTGTCAGAATTTACATAAGCAGTGAATTGAATAGACACAGCATAATGAGCTTTATCAGCCACCCTCACACAATTTCAGCAGACTATGCACTTTAAGGGCATTAAATTTAGACGTTCCCGGAAAATGCCTCCATGTTAGTGGAATTTATTCAAAACAAAGCTACAACGAAGTTTAATTGATGATTAAATTGATTTACATTTTAGCTACATAAATACATACGGTGAAAATGCAAATTCCACCGATTAGCATATTCAATGCAAAAATCCTCACAGCAAAAAATAAAAATTTCATAGGGGACTTTCGGGGGTGAGCGCTGCACTTTCGTGCACAAATTTCCCATGTCGCCTTACGCAAATGAGCCTGTGGGGACAGGTGCACCACAGAAAGCGTTTCGGAGGACCTCTGCAGTCGCAATTGATCCTATCAGGAGATTCATTGCAAAATGGGGTCGCGCAAATTGGACTGGCGATACATAAATTGCAATAGAATGTCTGGATGTGTGTGTTCTCACGTGACGACTTGTGTCCACTTCCCGGGAAGTCCTTCAGTTCGGATGCAAAAAAGTGTCCGTGCAATAAATCTACGTACTATGTAGATACTGACATTTTTTCCTCAAGCTTTGTACAATACACATCTATATTGTATTTGCGACGAGACCACTGTGAATATTGCACAGTTGAGCGAGAGCCAGCGAGAATTGTTGGAATTTTTCGTGATCCAGAACGTGCAGATGGTCTTGCAGACCTTTTATCGCATTACACGGCAGATATTGCGATGAGATATCGTCAATAAATACACTTCTGTTCCGCATTCTCTGTGTCTCTGAGGTGCTTAACAAGTGGGGATGAACTTCGCATGTTGTTAAGCGAAGGGTCTACAGTTTAGGTGTATAGCCAGACACAGACTGTATTGACTACAGAACTCTCTGAGACATAGGAAACTCACAACCTATAATTCTGTGGTCTTCTTAGTGCAATAATTTGGAGAATATATATGGATAAAAGTGCAAAGACAAAGAGGTAATTTAACACGATCTTTATCACTATCATGGTAAATTTCAGTTCGACATTACATGGACTGCAACACTAAAAATAGAGATTTTGAACATGATTTTCTATGGAAAAACAATAAGGGTGACGAAACAGGGAAAATATTCAAGCGATAACATGGTTTTTCTCTTTGGAAAATCCCATATCGATTTACTCACAATTCTATCTATTATTTTCTCTCCGTTGAACTAAAAAGTGACCAATCATATGATTTATACATACGTGTAATATATAAAAGAAAACACCGAATTTTTTCTGTTATTTCATTCCGACAATCGTGTTAGCGCCAGTGTATGCATGGATAGTGGATCACCTGCAGGGAATGGAAATAAAAATTATTTACTAGACTTCTAAAACAAACATTGATAATAATCAAACAGCAAGTGCGAGAGTAGTTTCCTGCACCCAACTGAGATAATATGCGAAAGCTCTGCGTGATGGTGAAAGCACACGCAACGCTTTTGCGAACCACGATGGGGTGTTATTAACTCAATATCCCCTGTAAATTGTCCAAGGATAGCAGAGGTCATTTTTTGCATTCCATCGTGTAGAATTGCTCAGTAAATTGCTATAAATGTCCATAAATCCATTCAGCATTATTGGACATGAAATGGAAATACATTTACCCAAACCATAGAACGATTTGCGATATGAACATTTATTTCATTTTGCTCTATTCGCCTTCACGCTGAAAAACTCAATTTTCTCATTTCCTTGCCATCGCATGGGGAAGGGGAGGAAATGTGCTTAAAAATGTGTTTAATCAACCGTCGGGATTCGGTGGAAATCTGAGCTCAGCATGAATACCCAAGAATCCACGCAAATACTGCAAATTGCAAATTCTTGTTTGGAAATTTCTCAATACCGTTGGGAATATTTAAGCAAACTCTTCTCCTAAGCACAGAATTTTGGATGAAAACATTTCTCAATATCATGAAAGGATTAAACTCACTGAACAAATTTCCTCTCTCACCCGAAACCTTAAAGATACATAACATTTTGAGTTTAATTAATACAGTGCCTAACCACTAAGACATGTTACTTATTTATCCATCGCACAGAAAAACATAACATACAACATGGATTTATTGTAAAATTTCCCGTGAATGTTTTCCCCAAAAATAGACTTCTTCCTTTACACATCACGTCAATCTGATTCGACTTGTTTTCTGTCCCCAGACACGCGAAGCATTATGGTAAATATCCTCTTTTGAGTGTAGATAGAATTGAGATTTTGTAAAATATTCACAATCAAAGAAAGATTTCAGAACATTTTGCTTCCAAACGATGTTATTCAAATTTGAATTTTTACAACAACAAAAAAACACTCCCCAGGATCTGAATGAATCCACAATCTCTGCTCTCGGAGCTCCCTTTTGATGGTCACTCCTGCAAAGGACACCGACAATTGCTCTCCATGAAAAATACATTAAGGTGAATGTTGTCCTTGATATTGGCCTTCAATGGGGAAATGATTCCGGGAAAATGTAGAGACTGGGACGTCCAGAGGGTCACGTAGGGCCGTAACATCTTAGCAGAGAGCATAAAATATGATTTATACTGGATTGAGGGACACACCTTATTCAAATCAAACATCGCAACAGATTGATGTTAATTCTGGGAATACAGAAGCACCGGACAAAGAATGAGACGCAGAATCTTGGTGCCCAGCATCGGAGTATCAAAGGGGGAAGGGAAATATGGTGAACACGGCAAGGGTCCGATTTTCTCTCCATTGCCTATATAGTCTTTGCAACCCTACTTGGACCTAAAAAAAATAACATGACAAGGATTGTTCGGGCGAAAAACGTGACTGACAACGAGAATGAGAAAGAATAACAATTGCGAATCCCTCTAAATTGATATTTTTCTCCATTTCATCCCAATGCTTTGGCTGGACATTGTTTAACTGGCAAAAATAATTCTGTTATGGCGTACAAATTTCCACACGAGTTACTCTCAGGAATCAGTTGCCATAGATTTATGCAATACAAATAATGCTGTGAGGGTGGAAAATGCCTATTCGTGAAGATAGAGAGGAGAGGAAATTATTTCTGGCCATTCGGATGGTTGAGAGCTCAGGAAAAAGAGCTGTTTTGGCGTTGAATATCACCTCGTAATGATCTTTTGTGCAGATGCGGAATGTCTAAATGGCATTGTGGAGGGGGGCTCATCTTCATAGTAGCACAAAATGCACAACATGAGCGGAAGTATTGAATGCCTGACTGCATTTCCACTTTACTCATTATGAGATATGAAAGGTCTTTGTTGGATGCACGTCAATGTTGGGGAATGTCAGAAGCTACGACAATGTTCATCTCGGTCTCAATTGCACCTCCAGAGAAACTCTTGTCATATTCATAAATTTTGCAAATTTAAGTATGTCTGCTTCTGAATTCTGTGTAAGTTATTCCAAGTTTTTGAATTTCACAGCATTTAGGAAGAAGAGTGAAGTGACTTACAACCATTCTTCATAGTTGGAGATTAAATTTAGTTCTATAATTTCACCGGTGAAATTTCAAAAATTTTCTGCCACTGAAATTGAAGAGAAAGCGTGAGTCGACACGGCCCACACTTTTTCAATAATGTACTTTTTGAGAGAAACTCTCAAAGAACCGGCAAATGATTTTCATGTAATATATGCATAATTTATTATTCAATCCTCCACACGCCAATAATTTATTCTGCTGAGAAACAAACAAATTTGCATACGAATTCCTGGAAATTTGGAATTCGTTCAATCATTAAATAAAGTCAAGCGAAGAGCATAATATGATATTTACTCATTTTATTAAACATATTGATTGATAGCGATACATTTCTAACTGCAAATGTGGGCGAACCTTCAAATGTACTCGAATAACATACATAACAAATATCCAAAAATACCATTCCTTGTGCGCTTCTCACCGCCCTCAGGATATCTATTCGCTCATTTCGGTGGAACCCAGAAATGGAGCTTTTCCAAACCATTTAGTCGCTTGTAAATGTTGAACGCGCCCTTTCTTTTTGAAGAGTCACCGAGGAGAATTCCCAAAGCACACACTTTTCTCGGAGCAATATTGCAAAATATACACTCAGGGTGCTGATGTTCCGCAATATAAACCCCTATTCTCTGTTCATTTGCAGAAATCGCTCAAGAGGCAATTAAGTGTGGTGGAGAAGATGCGTCTAACAATTAGGCGCCAAAAGCACCAACATTCTGCCGCAGACACACCAAATTGAATTGGTGGGGGGCGATTTGGGGGTGGCGACGAGAGGAAATTTAATCCATCATCTGTGGTTTCCGTGCAGAAGGATGGTGAATTTTTTATCTCACCCACCGTCAGACAGTCACTCGAAAAGGGACGCCGCCAGAGACGACGCCAGGATCTTCTCAATCTAGTGCTGTCCACAGTGTCCCACAAGACTTCTCCTCTCTGCTTCTCAATCTCACACTCTCTTCACGCCATCTCGTCTTTCTTTAGTCCCCGAACTCGAGGCCCAGGGCAAATAGAGCGGGCGGAACACTCGAAAGGACTACAAGGCCGTTGAATAGTGGACAGGAGTCAAATATTGCCTGAGCTGCCGAGATGTCTGATTTCGAAAGGATCAGACTAGTGATTCTGGGCGGTGCCGGAGTTGGCAAGAGCTGTATTGTCAAGCGGTTCCTCTTCAAGACGTACAGCGACAAGTACAGGGCCACCGTTGAGGATCTCTACAATAGAGAGTATGACTTGGGCGCCGTCACGCTAAAGGCAAGTAGCCAATTTTTCTTGCAAATCACGTCCGAATATTGTAAATTCGTTAAAATTCATTTTCCATCTGGCTGATTCACAATATGTCCATTTTGCTTTCAATCCCCTTCAATCAACGTCCCAAGTTATCAAATCATGACTTTGTAGAGTCAAAGTGTAGTCAATTTTTTCTGTCATTGATTAAAAAATTTGTAGAATTGGTAATTAAACTTGTGAATAAAAAAATATACTGTGACTCTGGAAATTAGCACTAACGCCAAAATAATTGTATTTTTTAATTAAAAATTTTACCCGCGATGTTCAAACGTATTGGAGAGATTCAATAAATCCACCCCATTGCGCATTAGTAACGAGAATATAATTTTGTTGAAAATATATTTCAAACAGTGTTAGTCGGCCTAAATACGGAAAGTTATAGCTTTAATACAATTTATATCCAAAACTTTACAATATCTCAGAGTATTTAATGTGTAAAAAAATATAATTTACCTTAAAATATCACGGATTTTATAAAACTTGTTGTTTATTACCTTTTTTATATACACTGCGAAATACTTTAAAATAAAATTTACTTATCATCCCTATGCGTATTATGTTCGCATAAATTATGTCTCTGTGACTGTTTGAAATTCATTGCATTTGAAGTTACGGAAAGCATAGTTTTAATTGGAAAATGTTCTATCCTCAATTGATGTCCTGATTATACTGAATTAAATGATGCTAATTACGATGCTAGAATACTCATTTATAATCAAATTCCGACACAATCACTATAATTTCCTCTTAGGTGGACATTTTGGACACATCGGGTGATATGCAATTTCCCGCCATGAGACGTCTGTGCATTGCCACAGGTATGGTGACTTCCAATAATGAGTTATTCCACCTGCAGCCACTGACCCAATGTTTTTGCAGCGAATGCCTTCCTCCTGGTCTATGCCACAACGTCAGCGCCGAGCTTTGGCTGTGTCAAACAATGCTTCGACGAGATTCGTGAACAAAGAGCAGACTTTCAGGTGAGACTTACCATAAATGCAAATGTGAAAATCTCGTTCTCATTCGTGACGTGAAGCCACGTGTGGAATGATGCGGGAATTGCAAAGTGTGAGAAGCTCACAGCTTCTGAATCAATTGGGCGCCCATTCCCTGTCACCACACCTCATGCATGTCTGTTCTGTTTGTACAGGAAATTCCGATTGTGATAGCCGGCAATAAATTGGATCTGGCTTCGACACATCGCGAAGTAAAAATTGAGGATGTCTCCGAGTGGGTTTTCTGCGAACTGCCCAAGTTAAGGTGAGATTTTCCATTTGCAAGCTTTGTAAGGGATCACGACTTCCATCAACGAAAAGCAGTATTATTTATCACCACATTTGGAATAGATTAAAGTGTGATTTGGTAAATTGGATTAAACCTACAAAAGCTACTGAATTCCTCTTTTTCACACTTCCTTTGATTAACGATGCAATCTCTTGCGAAATAACACCTGTACTAGAACATAAAGCATCAAATCCTTTAGTATCTCTCAACTTGCAATGATGCAATTCCTCGCGCTGCTTTTCATGACTATTCCTTCCTTAGTGAGAAACGATACAATATGCTGACTTTCACTACATATGAGAAAGAGAGAGATGAATGAGATTTTCGTGGACAGAGTGTAAATAAACGGATATTTTTCGCCAAGGAGGAAATGCTCCAAATTTTATTACATCTTTCCGTTCGTGCAAACAATACACAAGTTGCACGGAATGGAGAATTATTCTCTATCCCTCGCACTCACCCCTAAATTCGCGTGTGGTCTGAATAATCCAGGAAAGCGCAAAAGAATAAGAGAAAAACTGTTTGTGATCCACCGTTCTTTTATTTGCTTTACTTTGAGCAAATACTTACATTTTAATCCTCGTGAATTGTTGAGAATTGTACGAAGCAATATTGCTTGACATACATAAAGTATAAGCGATGTATTTTCATTTTATATGGGGATTTAAAAAAAACACACACACACCCTTTAATGTATAAAGTATAGTTCCCAAAAGCTCTATTGGGTCATTCAGGCAGAAACTTTCTGAGAATGTACTGAAGTTTGTTGAGTCTTGTGTTAAGTAAACTCCAACACTTTTCCCGTCTATTTGTTTTTATATGATAATCCACAAGATGAATCGCACTGCGGCAAAGAATCCGTGGGAATTACGGGCATAAGGGGAAAATTCACTAGCAATATGCGGGTAATCATTCACCTGAGCTGAGTTTTCGTATTAGCAGAGTAATTTAAATTCACTCTATGATTCATGCTTCTTACTTTGCGCTACATTCTAACACATGACGATCAGTATTGCAAATGCTCATTAACTCAAAACATTAGTAATGAAACACCCCTCACATGAATTCTGCCGTATTTTTTGCGCTTTCATACATCCCTCAAAATGACACTCTCAATTAATTTTATTTTTAATTCATCACCACAGTGGTGAACGGAATGCATTATGTGTAGGTGCGCCATAGAGAAAATGCACGTGGAACAATAGCCATGGGGTTTGGGGGTGAAACCCATATAAATTACTGTTACAGCTGTTGAAAGTTCATAAAACTACCCTCGGGGAAATTTCCCAAATAACATTCAACTCCATAAAAGCTTTTCTCGCTGGGGAGATTGAGGGCGAAAAATTGTGACATTCTGCCAAATTACATTCGTTCCAGCTCTTTTCCTTTTTTTACGGGTTAACTTCCAGGCTCAGCATCAGCAAGTACTCAGTCCTCTCAATTCAACTAATTCCTACTCGCGCACAAGTTTCAAAATTTCATTCAACATCAATGATTATGTACCCAGAAACATTTTTATGAACTTCCGAATGAGTAAATTTTTACCAAATAGTAGAGATTCGAGAAAATTACAAATCTCATTTCATTCTGTCTCTCTCTCTCTCTTGTTCTTTCCCAAGAGATTAAGAAAAGAAATAAGGAGTAATTTCAATGTGGGATTAATCTAAATTATTATTTCGTTACGATGGTCATGTTGCTAATGTCCATAATTGTTACACATTTATGAAGTTAAATGCATGGCATAAATTCGTGCAATGTTTCAAAGCACGATTCTACACATGTTAAAGTGCATCATTTTTGTAGTTCTCCCATTCTAGTCAACAATAAATACCCTTTGTATTCGTTTCAACATTTCCCAGTCACAAACGAAATGGCAACGAAAGGAAATCACACAAGCCATATAAAGTTTCAAAGCTCTCAGAGGTCTCAGAGCATCAAATTCGTTGCAAAATGTGCACTGTTCTTCCCAAATGAATGAGTAAAATATTGATTCAGAGAATAATCAAATTAATTTGAAAGTCATATTATCATAGCATAAACTCTGTACTTTCTTAAAATTATCAAAAGGCTCAAAATGCAAAATTTGACCTTTAAATGAATAAACAGAGAAAGAAAAAAATCGTAAGACTTTTCCTCTTTTCTCTCAATAATCAATTTTCAATGGTGTCATGTCGCTGTCAAGAAAAGGTGTGCATTTTAAATAGATTATTTTCCATGCTTTGAAGTTATGAAATTTTGACACGCACATCCGCGAAAAATGTCCAATTCGCCATTCGTCAATGTGTCTCTAATGAGAGTGCCCATTCTGTTTGACGAATCCAATTCTTTTTCTTCTCCTCTGCCACAGGGCGAAGGTGTTGGAGTGCTCAGCGAAGGATGACACGAATATCACGGATTTATTCAAATCTCTGCTCTCCATATCGAAAATCATGCCAATTGGGGGTGGCGAAAGCACTTCTGGGCTCAAGCGGAGATCGTCTGCGTACGTGAGTGCCACCAGCAAAGGTGAGGATGTGGCGACAGAAACAGAGAAAAGTCATGGGGTTGATGAGAATGCCGGAAATTACAGTTCAATTCCAATCTCAATGAAGGTCGTGTGCGTGATGATTCTCTTTTCATCATCATCGGCACAAATTCACACACCAGACCCTCCAAATAGAGCATTTCCCTCATAAAATTCAACATTTTCCCTGACATAAAACTGTGTCGCGTAAGCTGTCAATGTCGATTCCCTAGAAGCACAAAACGGAAAATTATAGTTGAAACGATGCTGGAAGAAATTGGGAAATTTTATTGAAAAATGTATAAAAATCATTTCCTCCTGCAATATCCACAGCTTTTATCACGCAACATTGTCAATAGCAATGGAATCTCGCGCGGGAATTGAAAAGGAAATGTAATTATTTATTTAAATTATCGTCACACGCGCAAAGAATTACTTTTGCTTTCATTTTTCAACGCCCAATCGGGATTTCCAGCCATCTGGACATTGATGGGGGTCTTTCAGATAAAATAAAACGCATGAGCTTTAATTTATGGTGGGGTGTTATTTGAATTTATGTGTTTGACAACACTGCACAATTTCTCTTATTTCGATTTACAATTGTAATTTATGAGATGCAGAAGAGATGAAAATGGTTTAAAATTCAATGGACAGAATGAAATATGTGCTTTGCCGTGTATTTAAATGTGTTGCCACGGAGCTTTTAAATTACGGAGATTGTCAATGAAAAGAAAAGAAAAAATTCCCACTTGTAGAGCAAATTATCCAATGAAATTAAGTGTTGTGAGAAAAGCTCCGCCAAATTCCCAACTAAATTCCTTTCACGAGGGAAATTCTTAAGTAATTCTGTTTGAATATTTGACAATGTTACTCGGAATTCGTGTTTAGAATTCCTTTACAAATACCAATGCTTTATGTCCGTAGTTAATTAACAAATATTACATTTAAATAATAAAGTTGCCTCGAAAGTGTATTTTTAACACACAATTCACCCTCTGAATATTTAACAACATTAAAGCACATTCTCGAATGCATTAACAAGAATGTATAAAAGATTAAAAAGGACTATTTATATTCGATATAGCGCCATGGAAATTTATATTTATATGGAATCCCATTGATTGATGCACTTTTCCGTGCCCTCAATAATATTTTCACCACAATAAATTGTATTTTTTCCGTGTTACTCTTCATTGAATTTTTAATAAGAAAGAAATAAATCATTAGTGTAATGCAAAATCTCCTGTTTTCATCAAACACCAGGAAAACACAGAGTCGGCAGCCCTTCTTTGGGAGCAGACAAATCAGGTCAATCGTTTCTCGGAGCTCCATCCACGGACTCCTCCAGCTCCAGCGATGCCAAATCAAAGCCTAGATCGAGGTAATACCCTGACAGCAATTTTCATAAAACATTTCCATGCTGACACAGCGCTTCGCTTTCCCCTTTTTCCTCCGGCAGGTCGCTTATACGACGCTCTTCGAGGAAGACAAAACAGCAAATCCAGAATGCATCCGGCACAGAGGATTGCAATGTGCAGTAAATAGCCGGCGACTGGCGAAAAAAATATAGTCACTCCATTCATCTTAAGTTCAACCTCATTTCTGATTCCGTTTACGTGCTCGCTAATGGTTAGAGAATTGATGAAAAACATGTAGAACGAGTGAATTTACTTGAAGTTTAATCCTAGTTGGTAAGAAAGATAAAAGAGATGTAAAATTTAATATCGATGCAAAGTGAATTGTGATCAACAAATTAGAATTTAATAATCTTTAATAGTGCAGAGTGGAGAGTCGCATTACATCCCAGAGAAATTATCAATTGAATGTAACTAATCATTTGAACCTCCCGTGAAAAACTCACATCGATCACTTTTCCAAACTTTGTGAAATATTGCTTACATTCCAAGGCTCTTCATCTTAATTTTCTCGCACCCTTACAGAAAATTCTCCACAAAAATTCTCCACAGATTGCAGGAGGGAAATGTAATTAGAGACGATGTTAGGAGATGAAGTGGAAAATTCTTGGAAGGCAAAAGACTTTTATCTCAATTTTAACTGCGAACATCTTCAGCAAACTTTCAAAACTTGTCTCGAATCTCATTCTTTCTCCGTATCGCAGACATGTTCATGTTTTTTGTCTCTTTACTTTTTCTTCACTCCAAGAAATGCAACTTTGTTTCTTCAACATTTTCACGATTTTCCACTATGTCAGTATTTTCATGGAATTCTTCACCGGAGCTCTATAGATTTTTAGTAATCAAGAATCTGATCAGTATTAGATTTCAGCACAAAGTTCAAGCACTAGGAGATTCCAAATTATAAAAAGAAAACTTTTTGTTCCAGAGAAAATTGATAATCTCAAAATAATTTTCAGAATCACATATTTCAATTGTATAACTTTAAATATCTCAAGTGTAACTAGTGAAGTAGACAGAATAAACTTAAAAATAATCAAATTTAAAATAAATATGACAAAATATAAAATAATAGTGAAGAAATAAAGATTGTTCAGTATAACGTTTAAAAAGAAACTAGAAAGAAGAAAGAAAATATTACAATTAGTAAGAGAAATCCAAGAGATAAATGACGTCCAAATATCAAATTGATAGGTTATATTTCATGGAATTTTGCCAAAATTGCGTGAAAAGGAATTTTATGAATAATTTAGAAAGTATTATAAAATAATATTCAGTACCTTATATTGATGTACGTAGTTTGTATTGAGATAGATTTTTATTGAAACATGAGAAATTACCAACAAATTGTTTTTTTACACAATAACAAAATAGTATTTGACAAAGCATAATTGTGGTTTCAACGTTGTGGAATTGTTGAGTGAATTGAGATGAAGTTGAAAAGAAGAGAATGAAAACCTTTCGTCTCAAAAGACGTAGTGGATATAATTGTTCTTGTTGAAGTATATTTGTAAAAGAAGAGAAAAATAATGATGTCCTAATTGTAGCCATTCTAACAATAATTTTCCTTTTAAACTCTTTAGTTTTTACAGTAAAATCATGGTCAAATCTACTTTCTCGACCTCAAGAAAAAAAGTCCTGTCAAGTAAATAAATTGGCTGATGGTAAAAATCTCTTTCAAAAGTGTTAAACAGGGTGCTCACTATGAATCACTAAAATCTACTATGAATATCACTGTTTTTGTAGACATTTGTGAAAAGAATCTTAGGAAAAACTTAACTGTGCTAGGTCATAAAATTTAGCTAATTGAAATTGAATTTTAAAGATTACATTAAGATATTTAATGTGCTCACGAGAGATTAAAAAAAAAGTTATACCAATTTTTCGAATCTGCACTCTTTTCTCCCCCAGCAAACCAGACAAAAAATCAAATATTTTACTATAGTCAACGGGACATAAACAGATGAAAAACTTATCACATACATAATCTCTGTATTAGTGTTAGCCGAAATTTTATCTAGAAGAGAGCATCTCCTTCTGAAATAAACTTGTGGGATCAAGCATTATAGAATCAAAGATTGAATGAATCATATAATATCTCTACTAAACAGATATCACATTGATATTGCGTGAAAGAGGGTGGGAAAAGCGTTAAGAGGGGGTGACAAAGCAATTAGCACTCCTCAACAGACTCCATTTCAGAGGGTGAGAAAATCATGGATGACAAAGGCTGCGGAGTGTTGAGTGGGTGGCACCCAATGGAAATGGCGTATGAAGTGGTGGATTGATGTACTACAAGAATATTTAAATGATGTATCAATGAGAACAAGGAAAATAAATAGACATTGAAATGATGAGTTTGCTTGTCCGTTGGCGAAACTTGAATTCTGCCTGGAAGTCTCACTGGAAAGCGCTTTATCCACAATTTGCTGGATAAAGTGCGCCGCAGCGCGAAAGTCAAAATCATATGTGAGGAAAATAATCTATAAATCAAAGTAAGGCGTGAGCACAACAATAGCGAAATTCTCCAGTTCACCTATCACGCTTTCTCACTGTAATGCCAAAATCAAATCCTAGGCACTGTATTCCCATCGTCTGATAGGAAGATTCTTGCAAGGCTGGTTGAATTCTTATTGGGAATTGATTGCTCTGCAGCGACATCAATAGCTGTGAACGAAAGAGGAAAGCACCTGACAGCTGTTTCAGTGGGCAATTGCGTCAGAAACAGAGTGTTCGAGATACGGAAAATTCCACCAAAAATAAGCATTTTTATCTCAAATTCTCAACTCTTCAGCTTCCTATTTGTTGCCCAAATCTCTGTGGACGTATTTAAGTTGTGAAATTGGGGAAACTCGCACCAATTTTGTGTGTTTAGTGAGACAAGTTGGAATTTTTCCAAAACCACCGGCAACTTTTCCGAAGAGTGACTTTTCTTGTATTGTAAAAAGAAAATATCCAGATATTTGCATTGTCCGTGATAATTTGAAGTGCCAGGAAGCATTGAGAAGTCACCTGAGGAGACTTTGTGAAGAAAAAAAGGAAGATTTTGTGTGGTAATTTCGGTCAGTACTTTTCCTCTGTGTGTGTGGCTTCTAATCAGCCGCTGGCCGAGGCTGAGCGACGGCAGTTCGTGCATCTCACTCTCTTTCTCTCCTCTTTTGACACTTTCCGGACGGGTGAATTGCGTAGTTGAAAAATTCACATCACCGGTGAGATCGGGCCACAAATCTGCGTGCTAAAGATGAACAGGGAGAAATGGGAAGATCTGGATCTCACCACGGATGAGATTAAGTCGCTCACGGATGCGCTGCAGCAAGAGGAATTCCGGAAGTTGCTTGTGGAGTACTGCGAAGAGTTGAATGACCCAGAAAACAAGAGGAAGTTTGAGGAGGAATTGACCCAATTGGAAGCTGAGCGAGGCATCGAGATCACCTTCATCAATCCTGAGCCTGGGTATGTGGTGAAGACGACTGTGGATGGGCAGATGAAGGGCTTCATCAATGTGTGTCAGAGTGGAAAAGTACAGCGTCCGGTGAGTGCGGCGAAATGCGGTAAAGTCAAACTCGAGCTTCTTTTACTGAAATCTTGTGTGCAATTGCAGGTGAGCGAGTATAGGGCTTCAGCTGGGGAGAGAGGTCTCCATTGGACGCTGCCGCACACCCAGGCGCCCCCGCGGCGGGACGTGGACAACAAGGGCGCGGCCTGCATGGTGTACGACGTGGTGTTCCATCCGGACGCCCTCCATTTGGCCGGAAAGAACAACCGCTTCCGCGATGTCCTCACGGAGACCGCGTGTGACGCTGTGGAGAGTGCTTTTTCAGTGAAACTCGATCGGACTAATGTGAAATACCCCAAAGTGGCGTTCAAAGGGACACCTAAGCCCACAGTGATTAGGCGTAAGAGTGAAAATGCTCCCTCGTGTGAGCCGAGCCCTATTGATGCGATTTACCCACCCCTGAAAACCCTTAACGGAGAGCCTAAAGTGCGTGTTGTACCTCAGACTCCCAAGCCTGGTGCTTACGCAACGCCCAAGTACACCATCACGCATCGTCGCGACGTGAACTACCAGGAATTCACCCATGAATTGGATGCCAAGATCAACGTCACGGTGCCCAAGGAGTTGGTCATCGCTGTGGAGTTGCCACTGCTCAAGTCCACTGAGACTGTGACTCTTGACGTGACGAGGAAGCGCGTGGTGCTGGTCTGCGAGCGTCCGGCAAAGTACAAACTCGATATTGCGCTGCCCTACGACGTGGAAGAGCGCCAGGGCGGGGCGAAATTCGATGCCACAACAAGGCGACTATCGATTACCCTGCCCGTTGTCAAGGAGCATCACTTGCAGCTGATTGACGTCACGCGGCAGGACAGCGGAGTGGATTCGATGCCGCAGAGCCCAGCTGTGTCGCCCTCGGTCTCTGAGGGCAGCGAATTTGACGAGGTCTTTGAGCAGAAGTTCCTTGACAACACCATCGGCTATACGCTTCCCAGCTTCACCTGCAACATCCTGGATGGTGTGGTGGCCTTCACTTTGAACGTGAAGAATGTAGAACCGGCTTCTGTGCAGGTGAAGCAGGACGAGGCGCTGGTGCAAGTGAAGTTCACATCCATAGGGAGTGGATTCTATCCTTCTCACCATGCTTTTGCGGCAAAATTCCCCTCTGGGCGGATTTTGGAAGCGTCCGCTGAGGCCTGGGATAACAACGTGGTCCTCCAATGCGAGATGGAGGACCTTCAGACCTGTGACCACTACGCTGTGGGGCTGTCAGTTGATGCACTGAAGCCCTATCCACTGAAATTCACCACTTCAGCGCTATCGCCGAAGCCCTCAATTGAGGATGATAGTCTTCGGATAGAGGCCAAATCTGTGGACAACGAGGAAGTGGAGATAGTTATCGATCCACCAGAAAAGATACCTGAGGAACCTCCGGCAGAAGAGCCACAGGAGAGTAAAAAGCCGAACGCGAAGAAGAAGAATCGCAAGCCTCGTTCAATGTCTGAGTCTTTCTGCGTCCCTGAGGTGTCTCTTGAGGATGAAGTGGAGAGATCTGTGCGGAAATCGAGAAGCTTGTCCGAATCGAGTGGCGATGACCAGGGAAGTCCGCGCTTCCGCTTCAAGGGCATCCTGAAGAGGAGTTGCAGCTACAATCCGAGCACCTCGAGTTCTGTTGACGATCAGATGCTGTCCGTGTCCGTGGACTTGGGCGTGGGGTCTTTTGATGGCATCCCAGAGGAGCAGGGAATGTCTGAGAGCTGCAAGAAGACCGTGCGATTCAGCGACGTCATTCGAAAGCAATTGTTTAGGTGAGAGAGAGGAACCTTATCAGATTCTTGGCCACTCGAGAAGGATGTTTTGGTGTTTCGTGCCTCAATAAATTTCTCTATCTATTTATAGGTCAAACTCAAGTATTCTTGGCAGGCGGTTGAAAAACATGAAGAAGAGAGCTAAGAAACGTGCCCAAGAGAGTCGACGGATGAGCGAGAGTGAAAATTCAGAGTGCGAAGAGAAGGTGAGATAGCGTCACGATGTTGTGTCCGAACGTGCTTTAATCTTATGTGGAAATTGACTTTGTTGCAGGAAAAGCCGCAAAGTGCTTCCGTGCGTCGCGACAGCGGAGTAGATCTCGACACCGGGGCGAAGATGAAGGCACAGGGAAAGAAAGGCGGCCAAGCGAAAAAGAAAATCGATAACACTGCCGATTTGGAGTTCAAGAGTGGCATGATTTTCAATCTGGAAATGTGAAACTTCACGTTGTGATAAGATTCATTGATCAAATCAATATTTTACTCTATCTCGATTTACACGGGAATCGTCGCAACACAAAATTTCAAACACAATTCTTATGGATAGTTTACTTTGATGCAAAATGTAGTTTGCTATGGTAGGAATATGATGGAAAGATAACTATTTGCACTATTCACTTTTGTAGTCGTTTGAAGAATGAGTGAGAAACGAAAAGAAAATCTGGCAAAAAATGTCGTCTGAGAATAAGTTGAGTTCTTATACCAGAGACTCTTCTTCAATTTTTTTGCCTCTAATTGTAGTGCTAATCGCGAAAAAAATGTATCTTCAACTATTTCTATTATAACCTGTTTGTCTAACGAAGAAATTGTAGAGACTCGCAAAATTGCCGAGTCAGGAAACAGTAGAATTTGTAGTCTTAAGGTAGCAACACGTCAAGTGTATCTCAATAAAAGAGTTTTCAATTGAATGGCTATTTTTTGTACTAAATTATAAGTCACGAAAACATTGCAAACATCATCATCATCATTAAGGTAATTACTGCGTCTTGAGAAAAAATTATAGTCATTGGGAGGAATTGTGCTGGACAGAGATTTGGAGATTTCCACTCTCAAGGGAAACTCCGTAGAGATCAGTCGCTTTTACGGCAGGAATCTATCATTCAAGTACAACTGAATTGTTACTTCAGTGCCTGGACAGTGTTGATTTCTTGTGATTTTGCTGTGCTTCAGGAAAGTTTGAAGAAATGGGCTCAATGGGAATATTGTCTTTCACCATCAATGGTGTTCCTTATAATGGTAAGTGAGCAATTTCTCATACATGAAAACCCAATTTTCTTTAGTTTGGCCAGATAAATAGACACACGCAATGGCAAATTATACTAAACTTTCAGAGCGCGCTAGTGAATTGTCCATTGATATGTCCCTCAACACTTTCATTCGGACTCGCGCGAATTTGACTGGGACGAAATTCATGTGCCTGGAGGGCGGATGTGGAGTCTGTATTGTTGTGCTGAAGGGCATCCATCCGGTGACAAAGGAGAAAGCGACCTGGGCGGTGAACTCATGCCTCTTTCCGGTCTTCTCCTGCCACGATCTCCAAGTGACCACTGTTGAGGGCCTGGGCAATGTGAAAGACGGTTACCATCCGATCCAGGAGCGCCTGGCGCATCTCAACGGGACGCAGTGCGGCTACTGCTCTCCTGGAATGGTGATGAATATGTACGGCCTTATGGAGCACAAGGGTGGGAAAGTGAGTATGGAAGAAGTGGAGAATTCCTTCGGGAGCAATATTTGTCGCTGCACGGGATATCGTCCCATTCTGGATGCCTTCAAGTCTCTAGCCTCGAACGCCGACGAGAAGCTGGTGTCCCTGTGCAGAGACATTGAGGATTTGCCCAAGAAGTGTCCAAAAAGTGGGCTGAAGTGCGAGGGAAAATGTCATCCGGCGGAGAAGAAATCCTTCAAACTGTCCGATGCAAAAGAGTGGCACAAAGTCCTCAATATGCAAGACATATTCACCATCTTCCAGGCTTCGGGAGACAAGAAGTATATGCTAGTGGCAGGAAACACTGCTCATGGCGTTTATCGTCGTGATGCAGATATTGAACTATTCATAGATGTGAATTCAGTTGAGGAATTGCGAAAACACTCCATTGGAGACACACTTGTGCTTGGAGGGAATGTTAATCTCACGGAAATGATGGAGATTTTGGAGAAAGCCGCCTCTCAGAAGCCAGCCTTTGAGTACTGTCGCGTCCTTATCAAGCATATCGACGTGGTTGCGAGTGTTCCTGTGAGAAATGTAAGAGTTCTCTCTCTCTCTCTCTCTCTCTGCACAATCTTGAGAGAAATACTAATTGCCTTTCATGATTTGTCTTCATAATTGACTGTATTGCTTAGACTGGAACCATTGCTGGGAATCTCAGTATTAAACACGCCAACATTGGGTTCCCATCGGATATTTTCCTGATTCTGGAAGCAGTCGGAGCCAAACTCACCATCATAGATGCTTCTGGGAAGACCACAGATTTGTCTCTAGTGGACTATTTGAAGTTCGATATGAAGAAAAAAGTTATCTTGAAAGTTACACTTCCAGCTCTTGATCCTTCCAGGATCTTTGTCAGGACCTTTAAGGTAAACCCAGTTCATGTAATGCAATAAATCTTCTATATGAAGAATATGCAAGTGATGCAAGTAATTCAATGACTGGCTATTTTCCAATATAACAAAATTGAAGCATAATGTGATATTGCATGCAATTTATAAATCTTTTAAATGATCCATTACATTATTACTGCTTTTATTGCATTGGCGACATTGGCAAAAAACACAGATATCATATTGCTATATTTTCACCATTTTCACAGATTATGCCTCGCGCTCAAAACGCCCACGCTTATGTAAATGCGGCTTTTGTGTATGAATTTGCTGACTCTTCGAAGGCCAAATTGACTAAAGCTACCATTTGCTTCGGCGGAATCAATCCAGTGTTTGTCCATGCGAAGGCGACGGAGAAACTCCTGCAGAATGTGAATCTCTTCGATGACGCCTTCTACCAAAAAGTCCTTACCACACTCGGCGATGAGATAAATCCAGATTGGGAATTGCCTGATGCTTCGCCAGAATACAGGAAAAACTTGGCTCTGGCGCTCTTCTACAAGAGTTGCCTTGATCTCTGTCCAGAAGAAAGGATGAAGGGACAGTTCAAGAGTGGCGCTACTCAAATTGACAGGATTTTGTCTTCTGGAACACAGACTTTTGATACTTATGAGAAAAATTGGCCCCTCACGCAGCCTGTTAAGAAGCTAGAGGCTCTCATTCAAGTATCTGGCGAGGCAAAGTACATGAATGATCATCCGCATCGCGATGATGATTTGTGGGCGGCTTTTGTACTCTCCAGCGAAGCCAAGGTTAAGATTGCGCGAATTGATGCAACTGAGGCTCTCAAAGTTCCTGGAGTTGTGGCTTTCTACAGCGCAAAGGACATTCCGGGCATCAATAGTTTCGTGTCTCTAAAATGTCCCTTCACCACTGAACTCGAGGAGATTTTTGCCAGTGATCTTGTTGCCTTCCATGGTCAACCCATTGGAATGATCGTGGCTGATACTTTTCCACTGGCCCATTCAGCGGCACAGCTCGTGAAGGTGATGTATGAGAAGCCGGAGAAGCGGGAGCTCCTCGTGACACTGCGGGATGTCCAGGAGGCCAAGGCGTGGCATCGGATCTGCAGTGAAATCCACACGGAACCGACCAAGCAGGGCGTGAAGGGAAGTCACCAAATCAGCGGACGATTCGACATAGGAAGTCAGTATCACTATACAATGGAGCCTCAGACTACCGTATGCGTTCCCACGGAAGATGGACTTGATGTCTTTTCTGCCACGCAGTGGATGGATCAGACTCAAATAGCCATTGCGGATTGTCTACAAGTGCCCGAAAATTCCGTCAATCTTCAGGTAAGTTGTGTGCTTTTTTATTTCGAAACTAATCTCACAAGGCCTTGAAATTTTCCATCGTCTTCTAATGCTTCTAATTATCTAAATTATTCTCTGCCTGAAAAAATGGTCATTGTTATAGCAATACCAGGATTTATGCTGAGTTGGATGTAAATCGATCTTTGATCTTCAGTGTATTAACACATTCAGTAACTCCTCTTCTTACTATCCTTAATCTTCTTACAGGTTCGTCGCGTGGGTGGCGCCTATGGTGGGAAAATAACACGCTCTGGTCAGGTGGCTTGCGCTGCAGCCCTTGCATGTCATCATCTGAGACGCACCATTCGCTTCGTCATGTCCATTGAACAGAACATGACGGCTATCGGAAAGAGATATGCCGTCTCGTCTGAGTACGAGTGCGAAGTTGATGATTCTGGGAAGGTTCTCAAAATGAAAAATACCTTCATGGAGGATTTCGGGTGTTCAGCCAATGAAGATGTCACTGCCTTCGCCAACAAAGCATTCCTGAATGTCTACGACGGCGCCACATGGGACGTAATGTCCAAGCTGGTGAAAACAGATGCTCCTGGCAATACTTGGTGTCGTGCTCCCGGGAATCTCGAGGGAATGGCAATGGCAGAAAACATTATGGAGCACATTGCACACGTAACTAAGCGGGATGTGAATGATATTCGACTCCTAAACATGCCTGGCGATAGTCCCATGAAGAAGTACTTCTCAGACTTTCGACAGTCGACGGAATTTGATGCGAGAAGGAAGGAAATAGATGCCTTCAATGAGGCTAACAGGTGGAAGAAGCGGGGTATTTCTCTAGTTCCCATGACCTTCCATCTTGAGTACTTCTTCACAATGCCGGCTCTCGTGTCCGTTTATCATGGCGATGGATCTGTGTCCATCACTCATGGAGGAATTGAGATGGGCCAGGGAATCCACACCAAGGCAGCTCAAGTGGCGGCTCATATTCTAGGCATTCCGCTAGAGAAGGTCGCCGTGAAGCCTTCAAGTGTCCTTACAGCGCCCAATTCACTCGTCAGTGGAGGAAGCATAGCCAGCGATACAATTGCCTTTGCCGTGATGAAAGCCTGCCAGAATCTCCTGGAGCGAATGAAAGGTGTCAAGGAGAAGATGAAAGATGCGTCCTGGGAGCAACTCTGTGCGGTAACTATCAAGAATATCCTCCACAATTTAATACTTACTAAAAAGAGTTTGCCTTCCAGGCTGCTTATCTGAATGGAGTTAATCTCTGCTCAGCGTATATGTATCGTCCAGGAGATGCTAAGGATTACCACATCTGGGGAGTAACTTGCACGGAAATGGAAGTAGATCTCCTGACCGGCAACGTGCAGCTGCGTCGAGTGGACATCCTGGAAGACACTGGAGAGAGTCTAAGTCCGAATGTGGATGTTGGCCAAGTTGAGGGCTCTTTCATCATGGGTGTGGGATATTGGCTCCATGAAGCTCTTGTCTTCAATCGCCAGAATGGTGAGCTTCTCACAAACAGAACTTGGACTTACAAGCCACCAGGAGCCAAAGACATCCCCGTTGACTTCAGGGTCACTTTCCTGCAGAAGAGCTCTAATCCCGGAGGAGTGCTGCGCTCAAAGGCCACAGGAGAGCCTGCTCTTGCCATGTCCTGTGGCGTGATTTTCGCCTTGCGATATGCGCTCAATTCAGCCCGAAAAGACGCAGGTCTTCCTCCTGATTGGTATCACATCGGAAGCCCTTCAACTCCCGACGAGATATTCCTGTTGGCAGGAAACAAGGTGGAAGATTTTCGTTTCCAGTAACGCTCTTATATCAAATGATATCAAGCAGTAAGAAGATCAGTATTAATATTATACTTAACATAACGTTGAGAAATGTATAAATAAACGGTTAAAGTTACTAATTTTCATAGTTGATTTCATATATTCCAACAAAAATAAGATTACGAAGAACACAGATGTTATACTTGTTCTCATCGTCACAGGCAATGAGTGCAAACATATCAAACATATAATATTTTTCCGCTCGAAAATTTTATTATCTCGTTTTATTTCACTTCGAGTTAATTTAACCGGAAAATATAAACATTCCCACAAACACTTTTACTACAATAATACCTAATACTTTTTATAAAAGCAATGTGTATGTAGGTCAATTGTTGCAAAATCAGAATAATTCGCGATGACTAATTAAGAGGTAAACACGTTATGGTTCATACGTTTATTAAATAAAACAAATGGGAATAAAAATAAATTGCCAGCCCCAAAACCAACGTTGTGGACTGGTGGATATAATGGCGTTTTTAATTCGAGAAACTACTTTTCTGCTCCCCCAAGAATATTATTAGAAAACGCTCCGGAACCCATTGAAGTATAGAAATTGTGCAACTGCATGTTTGCAATCGAAAGTCTGCTCGAGTTCGGTCAGTTCATTCGCAGCTTTTCCCTCGATCGGTTGTTCAGCTAAATCGCTAGCATGATTAGTGGAGTGAGATCTCTGTTCCAGAATCCGGAGTTGTGGTAGGTTTCCGGCGATCTTACTAATTCCCAGTGCTCCTATTTTAATTTGGCGTTCCGTTTTCCAACAGTTCCGAATTGTGCCTCACGATTAATGGAGTGATTTACAAAGGTGCGAAAAGAGAAATTGAAAAGTGGGTGCAAATATTGAGAACTCCTTCTTTGTTTAGCCGCTGTGGCCAGTATCCCGATCGATACATCGCTCAACACCTTCATTCGGCGACACGCGAATCTGCGCGGGACGAAGTTCATGTGCCTGGAGGGCGGATGCGGAGTTTGCATAGTCACCATCCGGGGCATTCACCCGACCACCAGACAGCCCTTCATCTTGTCCGTGAACTCCTGCCTCCTGCCCGTCTACTCCTGTCACGGCCTCGAAGTGATCACTGTCGAGGCGCTGGGCAGTCGCAAGGCTGGATACCATCCGATCCAGTCACGCTTGGCCGCTCTCAATGGAAGCCAGTGCGGCTTCTGCACTCCGGGAATGGTCATGAGCATGTTCAGTCTCGTGGAGTCGGAGAGGGGCCAACTAACCATGGCCGAGGTGGAGAACGCCTTCGGCGGGAACTTGTGCCGCTGCACGGGTTACAGGCCGATCCTGGACGCCTTCAAGACTGTGGCTTCGGACGCCACGCAGCGCCTCCGGGATTTGGTGTGCGACATCGAGGACATGCCGAAATTCTGTCCGAAGATGGCCTCCCACAGGAGCCCATTCGATCCCATTGACGAGAAGAGACTCTTCTTCAAGTGCAAGAGCGGCCGGGAGTGGCACAAGGCATACAACCTCGCCACCCTCTTCACAGTCATGCGCCAGAGCCGCCACAAGCAGTACATGCTGGTGGCGGGAAACACCGCGCACGGCGTGTACAGAAGGGACCCCAACATCGAGCTCTTCATCGACATCTCGTCCATCGAGGCGCTGAGGACCCACACTGTCGGCGGCTACATTGAGATGGGAGGCAACATGACGTTGACGGAAACGATGATCTTCCTCAGAAGAGCCGCCTTTGGACGCCCTCAGTTCGGGTACGTCCACGAACTCGTCAGGCATCTGGACTTGGTGGCCCACGTCGCCGTTAGAAACGTGAGTCTCAAATCAAATCAAGGTCCAATTGCGCTTTAATGTGTATTACCTAATAGGGTAATTAGTAATAACCGACCATTTACACACCATCAAACATTAAATGTTGTACATATTTCACGATCTTGTGACTACTGAATTGCAAAATCAAAACAAATGGATACCTTTGCGTGCTTTCACGGTGGCAATTTCCGCATTTTCTATCAATTTTCACGACCGCCATTCATCAGAAATGCGCCATAAGTGCATGTTTATTTTTATTTTTCTGGGTCTCTAGATCGGAACTCTGGCTGGAAATCTGATGATCAAGCATGAACATCCCGACTTTCCATCCGATGTCTTCCTCATCCTCGAAACTGTGGGCGCAATGCTGATCATCGCTGAGAATGTCGGCAGAACGAGATCGGTTTCCGTGGCAAACTTCCTCAAGATGGACATGAAGAGGAGGATCATCCTCAAAATCAGACTTCCGGCCATGGATCCCGTCCGAGACATTCTCCGAACCTTCAAGATCATGCCGAGGGCGCAAAACTCTCACGCTTACGTGAATGCTGGCTTCCTATTCAAATTCACCGAGAGCCGAAGGCGAGTGTTGAGCGCCAAGATCTGCTACGGAGGAATCCATCCCCGATTCGTGCACGCCGCAACCACAGAACAACTCCTGCAAGGAGCGGATATCTTCGACAACGACGTCCTGCAGAGAGCCTTGCAATCTCTGGACCAGGAAATCCAACCGGACTCCTCCATAAATGAACCTCTTCCGGAATTCAGGAAAATCCTCGCCCTGGGATTGTTTTACAAGGCAGTCTTGAGTGTTGGGCCTCAGGAGAGGATTCAAGAGCAGTACAGGAGTGGCGGCACGACTATTGAAAGACCGGTGTCTTCGGGAATACAGCAATACACATCCAACTCAGAGGTAAAGCGATCCTGTAATATTGTCTTGCGCGATTCCCTAATTTATTGTTTATTACAGAACTATCCTCTAACTCAGCCATTGCCCAAAGACACAGCTCTGGAACAGACTGCCGGAGAAGCTGTTTATGTGAACGATATGGCTCACTTACCGGATGATCTCTGGGCAACCTTCGTCATAGCCACGCAAACGAACTCCCGAATTAGCTATATAGATCCTTCCGTTGCCCTTAAAATTCCCGGCGTCATAGCGTTCTTCCGTGCATCTGACATTCCTGGAGTCAATAATTGCATGAGCAGAAAGCATCTTCAAGCGGAAATTGAAGAAGAAATATTCGCCAGTAGTGAAATTCTCTATCATGCTCAACCAGTTGGCATGATTGTGGCCGAAAGTTTCGATATCGCTCAATTGGCATCGAAAAAAGTGAAGATAATTTACGAGAGATCAACAACTGACCAAATCTTTCTCACGCCAACTGATGTCTTGGAGGCCAACGAAGAGGATCGCATTGAACGAAATTCTGCAGTTCTTGGAGAACAGAACGACGATGAAGTCGAAGGCGAACACACCATTACTGGAAGATTTGTCTTGGGTTCTCAATACCACTTTCACATGGAGGCGCAAACAGTGATTTGCACTCCGTCTGAGCAAGGACTCGATGTCTATGCTGCCTCTCAATGGATGGATTTGTGCCAGACAGCAATAGCTCAATGCTTGGGCATTCATGAAAGTAGGATTAAGATGGAAGTGAGACGCTTGGGAGGTGGTTTTGGCGGGAAAATATATCGAGTGACTCCAGTTGCATGTGCAGCAGCAATTGCTGCATTTCGTCTGAATAGAACTGTGAGATTCGTCATGACAATTGAACAAAATATGATGTCGCTTGGAAAGAGATATTATGTTGAGTCAGAATACGAAGTTGTGACTGATGCAAATGGACAAATCTTGAAATTAGAGAACACAATTTACGAAGATTTAGGATGTAACTTCAACGAAAATATTCCTGGAGTCGTTCTTCCTAACTTTTCCAATGGTTATGTAACGGATAATTGGTATTGGCAATATCACATAGTTAGAACACATAAACCCAGTAATACCATGGTAAGAAGTCCTGGAACTTTAGAATTCACATCAATGATTGAGAATATTATGCAGCACATCGCTGCTGTCACGGGTCAGGATCCCATTGATGTCAGGCTCGCTAACATGCCTGAAGACACTCAGAGAAGGCAATTTATATCAGATTTCAGGACATCAACCAACTATAATACCCGAAAAACCGAAATCGATGAATTCAACACTCAAAATCGTTGGAAGAAACGAGGAATCGCCATGGTTCCTATGAATTACAGGATCCATTGGCTTGGTATCAGGTATGCCTTGGTATCGATACATCATGGCGATGGAAGTGTGACGGTTACTCACGGCGGAACAGAAATGGGCCAAGGCATAAATACTAAAGTGGCTCAAGCAACAGCTCATCTGTTAGGCATAGATTACAACTTAGTAAAAGTAATGCCAAGCCTTAATTATGTTTCACCCAATACCATGTACACCGCTGCAAGTATAACAACCGCAAGTGTTATTTATGCAATTCAACAAGCTTGTCAGACTCTCAATGATCGAATTAATCCAATCAGAGACGATAATTCGGATCTTGAGTGGCCGGAACTCATTCAAAGATGCTTCGAACAAGATGTGGATTTGACTGCTTCCTACATGTTCAAGCATTCTGAAATGGAAGCTTTCCACGTCTTTGGAATATCATGTGCTGAGATTGAATTGGATGTTCTCACGGGAAATTTCCTCATCCGCCGTGTGGATATTCTTCAAGACACGGGCGAGAGTGTAAATCCACTCCTCGACGTGGGCCAAATCGAGGGCGGTTTCGTCTTTGGGCTTGGTTATTGGCTCCACGAAAAGCTCATTTACAACGATCGCAACGGGAAGCTGATGACTAACAGAACGTGGAACTATAAAATCCCCGGAGCCAAGGACATTCCAGTGGATTTCAGAGTGGCTTTCATCCAGGATCACAATCCAGATGAGGGTGTTTTGCGCGCTAAGCCAACTGGAGAGCCCACAACTGCCCTGGCCATTGTGGTACCTTTCGCCATCCGTTATGCTCTAAATTCAGCACGATCGGACGCCGGATACACGGACCCGTGGTTTAATATGGGCGCTCCTAGCACTATCGAGGAAATTCTCCTGCTCGCTGGGAACAGCACTCAAAATTTTCAAGTATAAAACGATTTAAATTATATCTGACTTCTTAAAAAATACATTTAATAACAATTAAAGGCAGTTTTTTGGAAATTGTATAATAAATAAGCAATAAACAGTGTAAATTTGTCTTTTATCACGAATAATCTGACTAATATGGCGTCTAGCATTTTTATATAAAATTTCTGATGCATATGTAAGTACATATTTACACTTCCTCCCCTTTTTTCTCTGTTATGAATTTTTCAAATACCATATACACTGCAAAAGTGAAAACTCACCTTATTAATATGTACTGTATTAAAGTGTTGTGCATGATTTGTAGAGTAAAAACTTGTTGGAAACTGCATTCTTACGTCATGATTTACTAAGGGGCTATTCAAAATTATTAAAACACCTTCAAGTTATAATTCTTATTATGCATAGAAATCAAGCACAATGTAATTTGCAGGCCCAGAAGTAAGGTTCTGGCGTAAAGTGGAAACATCGGAATTATTAATTTTAAAATTGCTGCTCCTCCAAGAATAATATTAGAAAACGCTCCGGAACCCATTGAAGTATAGAAATTGTGCAACTGCATGTTTTCAATCGAAAGTCTGCTCGAGTTCGGTCAGTTCATTCGCAGCTTTTCCCTCGATCGGTTGTTCAGCTAAATCGCTAGCATGATTAGTGGAGTAAGATCCCTGTTCCAGAATCCGGAGTTGTGGTAGGTTTCCGGCGATCTTACTAATTCCCAGTGCTCCTATTTTAATTTGGCGTTTCGTTTCCCAACAGTTCCGAATTGTGCCTCACGATTAATGGAGTGATTTACAAAGGTGCGAAAAGAGAAATTGAAAAGTGGGTGCAAATATTGAGAATTCCTTCTTTGTTTAGCCGCTGTGGCCAGTATCCCGATCGATACATCGCTCAACACCTTCATTCGGCGACACGCGAATCTGCGCGGGACGAAGTTCATGTGTCTGGAGGGCGGATGCGGAGTCTGCATAGTCACCATCCGGGGCATTCACCCGACCACCAGACAGCCCTTCATCTTGTCCGTGAACTCCTGCCTCCTGCCCGTCTACTCCTGTCACGGCCTCGAAGTGATCACTGTCGAGGCGCTGGGCAGTCGCAAGGCTGGATACCATCCGATCCAGTCACGCTTGGCCGCTCTCAATGGAAGCCAGTGCGGCTTCTGCACTCCGGGAATGGTCATGAGCATGTTCAGTCTCGTGGAGTCGGAGAGGGGCCAACTAACCATGGCCGAGGTGGAGAACGCCTTCGGCGGGAACTTGTGCCGCTGCACGGGTTACAGGCCGATCCTGGACGCCTTCAAGACTGTGGCTTCGGACGCCACGCAGCGCCTCCGGGATTTGGTGTGCGACATCGAGGACATGCCGAAATTCTGTCCGAAGATGGCCTCCCACAGGAGCCCATTCGATCCCATTGACGAGAAGAGACTCTTCTTCAAGTGCAAGAGCGGCCGGGAGTGGCACAAGGCATACAACCTCGCCACCCTCTTCACAGTCATGCGCCAGAGCCGCCACAAGCAGTACATGCTGGTGGCGGGAAACACCGCGCACGGCGTGTACAGAAGGGACCCCAACATCGAGCTCTTCATCGACATCTCGTCCATCGAGGCGCTGAGGACCCACACTGTCGGCGGCTACATTGAGATGGGAGGCAACATGACGTTGACGGAAACGATGATCTTCCTCAGAAGAGCCGCCTTTGGACGCCCTCAGTTCGGGTACGTCCACGAACTCGTCAGGCATCTGGACTTGGTGGCCCACGTCGCCGTTAGAAACGTGAGTCTCAAATCAAATCAAGGTCCAATTGCGCTTTAATGTGTATTACCTAATAGGGTAATTAGTAATAACCGACCATTTACACACCATCAAACATTAAATGTTGTACATATTTCACGATCTTGTGACTACTGAATTGCAAAATCAAAACAAATGGATACCTTTGCGTGCTTTCACGGTGGCAATTTCCGCATTTTCTATCAATTTTCACGACCGCCATTCATCAGAAATGCGCCATAAGTGCATGTTTATTTTTATTTTTCTGGGTCTCTAGATCGGAACTCTGGCTGGAAATCTGATGATCAAGCATGAACATCCCGACTTTCCATCCGATGTCTTCCTCATCCTCGAAACTGTGGGCGCAATGCTGATCATCGCTGAGAATGTCGGCAGAACGAGATCGGTTTCCGTGGCAAACTTCCTCAAGATGGACATGAAGAGGAGGATCATCCTCAAAATCAGACTTCCGGCCATGGATCCCGTCCGAGACATTCTCCGAACCTTCAAGATCATGCCGAGGGCGCAAAACTCTCACGCTTACGTGAATGCTGGCTTCCTATTCAAATTCACCGAGAGCCGAAGGCGAGTGTTGAGCGCCAAGATCTGCTACGGAGGAATCCATCCCCGATTCGTGCACGCCGCAACCACAGAACAACTCCTGCAAGGAGCGGATATCTTCGACAACGACGTCCTGCAGAGAGCCTTGCAATCTCTGGACCAGGAAATCCAACCGGACTCCTCCATAAATGAACCTCTTCCGGAATTCAGGAAAATCCTCGCCCTGGGATTGTTTTACAAGGCAGTCTTGAGTGTTGGGCCTCAGGAGAGGATCCAAGAGCAGTACAGGAGTGGCGGCACGACTATTGAAAGACCGGTGTCTTCGGGAATACAGCAATACACATCCAACTCAGAGGTAAAGCGATCCTGTAATATTGTCTTGCGCGATTCCCTAATTTATTGTTTATTACAGAACTATCCTCTAACTCAGCCATTGCCCAAAGACACAGCTCTGGAACAGACTGCCGGAGAAGCTGTTTATGTGAACGATATGGTACACTTACCGGATGATCTCTGGGCAACCTTCGTCATAGCCACGCAAACGAACTCCCGAATTAGCTACATAGATCCTTCCGTTGCCCTTAAAATTCCCGGCGTCATAGCGTTCTTCCGTGCATCTGACATTCCTGGAGTCAATAATTGCATGAGTTCGAAACATATTGATGCTGGGGAACAAGAGGAAATATTCGCCAGTAGTGAAATTCTCTATCATGCTCAACCAGTTGGCATGATTGTGGCCGAGAGTTTCGATATCGCTCAATTGGCATCAAAGAAAGTGAAGATAATTTACGAGAGATCAACAACTGACCAACTCTTTCTCACGCCAACTGATGTCTTGGAGGCGAACGAAGAGGATCGCATTGAACAAAATTCTGCAGTTCTTGGAGAACAGAACGACGATGAAATCGAGGGCGAACACACTATTACTGGAAGATTTGTCTTGGGTTCTCAATACCACTTTCACATGGAGGCGCAAACAGTGATTTGCACTCCGTCTGAGCAAGGACTCGATGTCTATGCCGCCACTCAATGGATGGATTTGTGCCAGACAGCGATAGCTCAATGCTTGGGCATTCATGAAAGTAGGATCAAGATGGAAGTGAGACGCTTGGGAGGTGGCTTTGGCGGGAAAATGTACCGTGTGTCACAGGTTGCGTGTGCAGCAGCAATTGCTGCATTTCGTCTGAATAGAACTGTGAGATTCGTCATGATCATTGAGCAGAATATGATGTCAATTGGTAAACGATTTGCATCAGAATCTCAATATGAAGTTGTGACTGATGCAAATGGGCAAATCTTGAAACTGGAAAACATCATTTACGAAGATTTTGGATCTAGCTTCAATGAGAACGTTCCTGCCCATGTTCTTCCTAACTTTTCCAATGGTTATGTAACGGATAATTGGTATTGGCAACTTAATATAGTCCGAACTCATAAACCCAGTAATACATTGGCAAGAAGTCCTGGAACTTTGGAATTCACATCAATGATTGAGAATATTATGCAGCACATCGCTGCTGTCACGGGTCAGGATCCCATTGATGTCAGGCTCGCTAACATGCCTGAAGACACTCAGAGAAGGCAATTTATATCAGATTTCAGGACATCAACCAACTATAATACCCGAAAAACCGAAATCGATGAATTCAACACTCAAAATCGTTGGAAGAAACGAGGAATCGCCATGGTTCCCATGAACTACAGGATCCATTGGCACGGTCCTAGACACGCCTTTGTGTCGATACATCATGGCGATGGAAGTGTGACTGTTACTCACGGTGGAACAGAAATGGGCCAAGGCATTAATACTAAAGTGGCTCAAGCAACAGCTCATCTGTTAGGCATAGATTACAACTTAGTAAAAGTAATGCCAAGCCTTAATTATGTTACACCGAACAATATTCACGCTTCTGCAAGTATAACAACGTGGTCTGTTCTGTATTGTGTTGAACAAGCTTGTCAGACTCTCAATGATCGAATTAATCCAATCAGAGACGATAATTCGGATCTTGAGTGGCCGGAACTCATTCAAAGATGCTTTGAACAAGATGTGGATTTGACTGCTTCCTACATGTTTAAGCAAGGAGACATGGAAGCTTTCCATGTCTTTGGTATATCATGTGCTGAAATTGAGTTGGATGTTCTCACGGGAAACTTCCTCATCCGCCGTGTGGATATTCTTCAGGACACGGGCGAGAGTGTAAATCCACTCCTCGACGTGGGCCAAATCGAGGGCGGTTTCGTCTTAGGTCTTGGCTATTGGCTCCACGAAAAGCTCATTTACAACGATCGCAACGGGAAGCTGATGACTAACAGAACGTGGAACTATAAAATCCCCGGAGCCAAGGACATTCCAGTGGATTTCAGAGTGGCTTTCATTCAGGATCACAATCCAGATGAGGGTGTTTTGCGCGCTAAGCCAACTGGAGAGCCCACAACTGCCCTGGCCATTGTGGTACCTTTCGCCATCCGTTATGCCCTAAATTCAGCACGATCGGACGCCGGAAATACGGACACATGGTTTAATATGGGCGCTCCTAGCACTATCGAGGAAATTCTCCTGCTCACTGAGAACAGCACTCAAAATTTTCAAGTGTAAGTTGTTACTTTGTAATATTTTATATTAAGAGAATAAAAGCGGTTTGTTGGATAATAGCATGAACCTCTTTGAAAGTTTATCCAATTAATTTCCAGTCTTGGATAAACGTTGTGAACCCAACCTCACTCTCTTATCAGTTTATGACCAGTCTTTGTTTGTTTTCAATTGGTTTTACTTAAGTTTTCCTACAAAATAATGAGAAATTTTAGTGAAGAATACTTAAGAATTACTCTGGACGCATCTCTAAGTGTTCTGGAACAGTACAAATGGCTTACCGATAGCTACGTATTGGATTTTTTCGTGGAAAACCACTGGGAAAGGATTCCTGCATCGTGGCAAAACACTTTCACTTCTGGACATTTTCACGTAAAAGATATGGCATTATTGCTCAACCAGGACGGTGATTTCTGTAGGAAATTCTCTTGTGTGCTTCCACTGTCAATCCTGACTCTAAAATATCTAATCCAAAGGCTTTCCATAAGCAGAAAACAAGAGAAAGTGAGTTCTGATTTGAACAAGGATATCAAAGATTTTAAATTGATTAGTGAATTTTCTTGTCGCTCTTTCAGATTGGGAATCTTCATTTTCCAGGATTGATTGGTCATCCTAAGTTCAGAAACCTTTTCGCCAAGAATGTGAAGATCAAGAAACGTCATGAGATAGAAAGAATGAGCGCAATATGCTCAGAAACAGCAGAGAGATGCGGAGTTGAGTATCTTGTGGATGTTGGGGGAGGATTGGGGCACTTATCTCGAGTACTGGCCTTTGGGCACGGGAAGAAGGTTTGTTGCGTGGAGAGACAAGATTCCCTGAATATTCAGGCCAGAGTGTTGGATGACCAGTTCTTGAGATTCGCAAAGAAGTATCTGCAAAGCGAAGAATATGAAGCGTTACATTCGCCTACTCACCTTAATCTCTCCATTTCAGCAGATCTCGATGCGAAATCTTTTGTAAAACATCTTAAAGCTGAAGTATTCGGAGTTACTGACAAAGGTGACTTCACTCTTGGAATTGTGGGTCTGCATCCATGTGGAGATCTGGGTCCTATTCTGCTGAATATGTTCAGAGAATGCTCGGAAGTAAAGTTCATAGCTGTTGTCGGTTGTTGCTATATGAAATTGACCGGGGATGGTTATCCCTTGAGTGAGCACCTGAGGAAGGTGAAGGTAAAAAGACCTGAACGAGTGATTTTGAGCTACGAAGCCAGGGAAGTAGCTTGCCATGCGATGGAGATGTACGAAGAGCGACTGTCGCAGGGATTGTATGACGATCTGAAGATTCACGCATACAGATCGGCGCTGGAGAGGATAATCGTGAAAAAGTGGCCAGACTTGAAGCACACTGGCCTGAAAAGCGTAAAATACAGAGACTGCAGCTCTTTTCGGGAGTATTGCAGGAAGGCAGTGGCCAAGTTGCAACTGATTCTCCCAGAAGCTGGTCCCGAAGAGATCAAAGACTGCATGGAGTGGGAGAAAGTGGCGATTTTCTACACCTTTCGTCTAATGTTGGCGCCTCTTGTTGAGTCTGTCATCCTCACCGACCGGATGCTCTTCCTCCGAGAGAATCTTCCACGGACTGTAACATCCTCTTGCGATACCGTTGCTGTGTTCGATCCGCGCCTCTCGCCAAGAAATCACATCGTGATAGCCACAAAATAGATGCTTTATTGAAGGGTTTTCCGTGGCACAGAAGATAATACTTTGGCGTAGTTTTTGCGCTTATGCCTCGCGCACAGTCACCTCGTCATCGCTGGCTTCCTGGCCCAACTTCTCGAAGCCATCGTGCTTATTGTCGAGCAGATTGCCCAACTTGAACTCCCTGTTCAATTCCCAGGCGTGCTTTCGCGTCCGCCCGCCGCGTGAGCAGCATCCTGAGTGGAAGAGATTGCCAGTTAATTTCCACCCCTGAACAGGAAGCGAGGCAGACCTTTTTGAATCACGTGTTACTCTGAGAAGATTCTTTTATTGAGCCAAGAGAGTGGTCTTATCTTCCATTTATAAACATTCATAATAGACTTTACACAATATTTTTCTCATCTTTACACTGGATTCAATAGAATATATCAATTTTTAAAATTAACACACAATTTCTCATCTCCCATTTTGTCGGTTGTTCTTTTTTTCTCTTATATGTGGTAGACACAGGATTCAAAGAGTTCTTAGCCTTAGAACAAATCTCCCTTACATTTCACATCTCTCTCACAATCATTCGCTGTGGACTGTTTTTTGCTACAACTTAAAAGTCTGGCTGAAAAGTGTCTAAATGCAAAGAAAATGTAATAAAAATAAGAGTATAATTATGTTGTTTAATTTGATAAATTACAATATAAAGCAATTAAACTAAAAAAAATGTCTTTTATCACCTGAGGATTCCGTGTATAAAAAATACATAAATAACACATAAAGAATACTTGAAAGTTGCCCCCAAAAGCGATGTATATTCGTGAGAGCGTCCCAGTTTTTTTTGTCTAAATAGAAACCCATAAAAATCTCTTCCTTCAGCTAAACAGTGAGATCCCTCATTATGTATATTGGCAAACGCACAGTGGCGATCATAGAGAGAGCAAGTCGTCCTTTCTCAGGGAACTCAAAAGCATGCGGAACCGATTACTAAATAACAGTTGTCAATGTGCTAAACTTTTCTTGATTTTTGTGCGATTCACATGGTCGGTGCTCTCTTTAGGCTCGCCACTCTGTGCCTCAGAAGCAGGATAGAAAATGTGAATAAGAGGCCAATAAGTACAATTATTCTTCGCTGCGTGCACTTTTCGACATGAGCCGGCTGTACTCGATATCATTATCATTCTCAGATGCCTCCATACCTCGTTTCCTCTGGCGCAAGACAAGCAATGTGGCCCCAAAGGCAGCAATAGCAAACACCACAATGAGAATAACAGCCAGGAGAGCCGTGGCCCCAGAATCCGCCACACTCTTGGCAACATTAGTTGCTGCAACCGTGCGATTAAACCCACCACCTGAGAGATGAGATTCCGTCAAACTGTGAGATTGATTAGCGAGCAATTCATGCATACCGTCTTGTGCCTTGCGTTGCACACTCGACGAGAACTTCCTGGGTCGGAATTGACCGATCTCCGCCACATACACCTCAGCTCCGTCCTCAGACACCACAATGTCGTGGGGATTGTTGAAGTCCTCGCCAGGGATGCCGAATTTCTCCACCACAGTCTTCGTAGTCATATCAAAGACAAAGCCTCGCACTTCATGGTAGCCAGGAGAGTATTCCTGGGCAATCCACACCGGCAACTGAGGCCCATTGATCACGTACAAGCGCCCACCGTTGATCGGGGCATAAGACACCCCGTAGATTCGATCTCCGACCAATAAGCTGTGGTACTGCGAATGGAAAGTGCCATTCGTCACGTGGAAACACTGCACTCGCCCATTCTCTCGGTCTGCCACGCAAATCAGCCCCTTGTCCAGAGCCAGAGTGAGGGAATGAGGAATAGCCAGAAAATTCGGAGGTGCTATTTTGTGTGCGACGCCTGTAAAAATAACAAAAATTATCAACAAATTAACATATATGTAGAGATCTCTTTAACTAGAGGAATAAACAGCTCGCGAATGTGATAACATTGACGTCAATTAATCTTTGCACAAGTGCTTGAAAAAACAGGTCACGAAAACTCCTCACCCTGAAATGAGTTCTCTCCCCATGTCAGAATTCTCTTTCCATCTGCTGAGAACTTGATGATGCGCGCATTGCAGTAACCATCGGCGACGAAGAAGTCTCCACTTGGCAGAATGGCAACGGATGTGGGCTTGCAGAAGGTGTCAGGTCCATTTCCCGGCTTGAATTTCTTCCCCAGCACCATCAGGGGTTTGTCCTGGTCCTTGCGTAGCTTCATCACTTGGTGCAGCGCAACATCTGTCACCCAGATATTCGCCTTGTCGTCTACCGTGAGTCCGTGTGGCATGTAGAAGAGATTCCTGCCCAGGGAGTACTTGAGAGCACCTGTGCTGCGGCTGAACGCCAGAATTGTGCTGTCCGGAATGACACCCAGCTGAGTCTGTTTGAACTCATTGTCGAGATTGAAGGTGGACTGGCCCCATACACGGCCGGCTCGGTGGAAGACCACAGCATTGCCCTCTTGGTCCAGTGACACTGCCGAGATGGAGTTCATCTTGACGTGCGAGGGCCAGGAGTCGTCATATGTGTAGGTGGAATTCAAAGCCAACAGCTGCTCCTTCACGCTTCCGCTGCCCTGAGAGACGCTCTGGCTTCTGCTGGCCTCGTCGAGAAGAGCTTGCTGAAACACCTGTCGGCTCTCCAGCCCATAGTCATCCGTGTCAAATGCTTCCGGATGGCGTGACTGGGAAGCAATAAAAAATCAATAAAACACAAATCAACGCCCCGGCATTTACTACTGCCCAACCTGATCACTGAGGAGAATCTGGAGTGTAACGAGGAGGAGGATCTTGGCACAACACTCCATTGTATCTGATATGCTTCTGTGAAAGGATAAAAGGGGAAAATCCGCATGAAAAGGTGCAACAGCTGTCACGGCCGAAGGGGTGAGATATCCTGTGAAATCTCACTCCTTATCCCCCACGAGAAACCCACACAAATCCCACTCACATGAGGTAATATTGACTCTCAAGATTGACTTCTTTGCCACACACCACTCTTCAACACATCTTTCACCCTTTCTGGGGTGTTTTTCCACTGCAAACTCCAGACGAAAATTCGACCTACGCCACGGATCGCGGACACGACTCGGCTGGGAACGCGATCGCGCAAACTCATAGAAAAACATCGCCGACCACCAGCACCACCTGGGAGAATTCTTCCGAAACTCATTCATTGTGGGCCAGATCGCGAGAAAAATTCTGCGTCCCCCAAAAAAGTGTTTGTTTCGCTGATTATTGCGAGTTATCAGCTATATTCCGTCACAGAAGCGTTTGATCTATTAGTCGTGAAATACTACGTGATAAATATATGGTGCGTCGGAGGCTTATCTTCTCAATAATTGCAAAGAAACATTGATACGGGAGACTAATGTTGATTCCCTGTTTTCTGGCTTTCAGCTGCGACAATCGCGAAGATACAATCTTATGTTGATTGTGTGAGTGTGCTTTTCGGTGGTTTGGCGATTTCTGAACGAGGCTGGTGGTGAGACAGTCGATAGCAAACGCCCAGACAATGACGACGTCCCAGTCATTCAGTATCCCGAACAAAGTGAATCCGGATCTCGAGAATGAGAGGAAAAAGTGCTCGTTCCTCGTGGAGGATTTCGCAGAGTTCTGGCACGAAGGAAAGGAGAAGCTCTCGGAAAAGCGCTGGCGAGGTGAGCAATTCAAGGTTCTCGCGCGAGAAATCAATGGTGCCGTAGTGTTGAAAATGCGAGTGAAAGTTAACGAATCATGAGCTTATACCTGAAGTTCCAAAGTGCAAAAAACACGGGAATACTTTGGCAATCGCACAGCAATTCGCACTGTAATTAATTGTACATGTTTCTAGCGATGTTGACTTTGCTCTCTGGTCGCACTGGGGGCACTTGAGAACCGATGGGACGGAGTGGCGATGGACAAAGTCTGTGTACTCCCTGCTGAGTGGCATATTTAAGGGAGACGTTCTGATAAGAGTTATCGAGAGTGGGAAATTAACGCAAAAATTGATGGACTCTGTTGAGATAAATCTCGCTAGCGAGAGCATAAAAAACTATTGAGAGAACAAAGAGTTTTGTAAACAACTTGACTTTAGTGACCTCAAATATCAAGTAAATATTTGCTTGGATTAATTTGTCTCCCTTGTTCTACAGAGGACTTCTTTCTCAATGATCCGGAGATGAAGTCCGCCGTGCCGATGGAGTATCTGTCGCACAAGGAGAAGTACGAGGAGGGCGTGAGGAAGTCCACCATTGGCTTCCGGAAGATTAGAGAGCTGCGATCTCTGGGAAAGGACGGCATCGACAACTACATGGCGCTCTTGAGTGGAATGCTGGGATCAGGCATTACGCCCGATGGGAATCCCTTTGCTCTGCACTACGTCATGTTCCTGCCCACTCTCATGGGACAGGGCACGCCTGACCAGCAGGCTGAGTGGATGGGAAGAGCCTGGTCATGCCACATAATCGGGACTTATGCGCAAACCGAACTGGGCCACGGAACTTTCATCCGTGGTCTGGAAACGACATCAACCTATGATCCCCAAACCGAGGAATTTGTCCTCAACAGTCCGACTCTGACGTCCTACAAATGGTGGCCAGGTGGATGTAAGTTATCCTTTAAATCCCTCCACAGTATTCAGACATTGACAATCAATTTATTGTTCCTTTTCAGTGGCTCACACGGCAAACTATGCCGTGGTTGTGGCTCAGCTCTATACTAAAGGCCAGAACCATGGGATTTTCCCTTTCATTGTGCAACTGCGCGACGAGGAGACTCACATGCCGTTGCCTGGGATAAAGATTGGCGAAATTGGCGCCAAATTGGGAATGAATTCCGTGAACAACGGCTTTCTAGGTTTTGACAATGTGCGGATTCCGCGCAAGAACATGCTAATGAAGAATGCGCAGGTGGAGAAGGATGGCACCTTCGTGAAAGCGCCCTCGTCTGTCCTCACGTACGGCACGATGATGTTCGTGAGGGTCGTGATAGTGCGAGATATGGCCAATTATCTCTCCAAAGCTGTCACAATCGCCGTGAGATACTCAGCCGTGAGGCGCCAGAGTCCGATCAATCCCGGGTAAGTCGCAAACACTACTACAAAAAGACGAAAAAGTTGCAAATAGTGGAAAAATGAAAAGGTCGATGAAATGCGAGATTTGCATTTTTCTACAATCAATGTTTGTTTTCATTATATTGAATGAATTTCAACTAATAGAGGGAATAATGTGAATCTTAATCTTTAATTGATTTGATGCTCTTTGCCGGCTGTGTTTTATAAACTGCGTAATTTTCTGTATTCTCATTGTCCTAGAGATTATGTAGTACTTAAGAAAAACTTTTTTTTTTCTCCCAGAGCCTATGTTTTATTTCCGCAACATTGAATCATACTTTATAAAATTTCTTTGACTAGATTTCAAATGGATGGTAAAAATTGCTATTACGCTTTTTTCTATATAATTTAGTTTAACTTTGAGTAAGATCGTTCATAAATTTTGTTTGTTACTTAATTGAATGAAGAAATTTTATTGTTCAAGCCAAGAACGGAAAAATAACCATCAAAGAGATAAAAATGTGTGGAAAAAGTAGTTTTTTTTATCTATAACTTTGTGCCTATTAAAAAAGGTTAAATTTGTGGAAATCTAGAAGAGTTAGTATGGCAATATTAGTATGGATTTAACTACGCCCATGACGTTGGGTGTGAATGAACTTAAATATACAATTAGTCATTTGCTTGTCTTTGCAATATTTTCTCAGAATTGTCTGTAATGTATCGTTTGAAAGTTACAAAATTCATTCCGATTTTACGAGATTTGACCCACTTTTCCAAGTCCAACGTAGAAAGTTTATGATCTTCAAGATTTCTTACAATATTTTTTGTGCTTTTAGAGAGCGTGAACCGCAGATTATGGACCACGTTACGCAGCAACTGAAGCTGTTCCCCCAAATCGCCAAGAGTATTGTTTTCAGGATGACTGCTGACTATTTGTGGAATATGTACAACCAGGTGACTTCGGAGCTGGACAAGGGAGATCTAGATCGGTTGCCGGAACTCCACGGGATGGCGTGCTGTCTCAAAGCGATCGTCACATCTGACGCGGCACAGGCTGTGGAAATCTGCCGGCTGGCTTGCGGAGGACATGGTTATATGTCCTGCTCCAGTTTTCCCACAACTTACGGACTCACGACGGCCGCGTGTACGTACGAAGGTGAAAACACCGTTCTTCTGCTGCAAACGGCGCGATACCTCGTAAAGTCATGGGCATCGGCGAAGATTGGAGAGACTCTGGCGCCCACTGTGGCGTATCTGGGCAGGAACTACAAGGATGCGGTGAAGGGAAGTCGACCCAAATGGGACAAAAGTATTCCAGGGATTATCAGTGCCTTCCAGACCTGCGCGGCTGGGTGAGGAAATCATTCTCTATTATTCTCGCCAAAAATATTCAATTCATGAGATGATGTCTGCTTCCAGAAAGGTGAATATTGCATTTGATAACGTTGAGAGGAGGAAGAAGGAAGGCGCATCGCATGAAAATGCCACCAATATGACATCAATCGAATTGGCAGCGGCAGCTGATGCGCATGGCAGGGCATTCCTTATCCAAGCGGCCTATGCATCTCTGCAAGACTTCCTGAAACAAGTCCCTCCAGCTCTGGGTGAAGTGCTGCAAGATTTGGTCACTCTCTACGCTGTGCACGCGTCACTGAGACACCTTGGGGATCTCTTGAGAGTGAGTGTCTTATTGGAGAGTGTCTGGGTGCTTATTTGATCCCAACATGCTTTTTTTCCAGTTTGTAAACATCTCTGAGGCGGATATTCGGGAACTACAGGCCACTCTGGAAGCTCTCCTATCACGGGTGCGCCCCAATGCAGTGGGCATTGTGGATGGATTCGATATTCCCGATGGCATTCTCCAGTCGGCACTGGGAGCGTACGATGGGAATGTGTATGAGAGGATGTTTGCTGAGGCGATGAAGAGTCCTTTGAACCAGGAGCCAGTGAACAAGTCCTTCCAACAGCACTTGAAGCCTTTCCTGAAGTCCCACCTCTAGGACACAAGCGGCATTTTAGTGATTTTGGTGCTATGATTTTATGTTGTATTAGGTGAAGTATTCTTTTTGTACTCCGTGGCATTCGTTAATAGAGAAATTTTGAATTAGCATTGGTGGTTTTTCTGGCAGAGGTCACTCAGCTCGTGGCATGCTATAAAATCTATAATCCGAGAAAACATAGCAATCGTCCATATTTGATTGTTAACCACGTCAGAGAACAGTTGAGTGCTCCACAAAATCACGGAAAAGTCGCAGTTTTTAGTGAATTTCGTACGTGAAAGTCTTATTGATAATCATGGCAGATCCAAAGAAGTAAGTAGAATGTGAAGTATGGGCGGAAAAGGGTGTATTTGATGTGGAAAATGGGGTGGAAAAATGCGATGCCGACTTGCTCAATTTTCGCTTGTCATGATGGACACTGAGTTTCGCAGACGTTTTCTTTGTCCTCATTTTGCACAATCTTATAGAATTTTGCATAATTTTTTTTACACTATTCCAAATACAAGGATCTCGGGATTAGGCATGGAATAGTAGGAAGTGTTCTAGTGGTGGGATTTCGGGGGAATATTGGTTGTTTCTGAAGAGCTTCTCGGGCGATGACTATCGAGTTTACAGGGAGGAGAAAGCCGATGCGCCCTAACCTCATTCTCCACTTGTCTCTCTTTCAGCGCTGATGATTTGGCCACGGCCATTCTCAAGCGCAAGGATCGCCCAAACCGTCTGCTGGTGGAGGAGGCCGTCAATGATGACAACTCCGTGGTGTCTCTGTCGCAGGCGAAGATGGACGACTTGGGTCTCTTCCGCGGCGACACGGTGCTGTTGAAGGGGAAGCGCCGCAAGGAGACGGTCTGCATTGTGCTGTCGGATGAGAACTGTCCGGATGAGAAGATCCGGATGAATCGTGTGGTGCGTAACAACTTGCGCGTTCGTCTGTCGGATGTGGTGTCCATCCAGTCGTGCCAGGACATCAAGTACGGCAAGCGGCTGCACATTCTCCCCATCGATGACTCCGTGGAGGGCCTCACGGGCAATCTGTTCGAGGTGTATCTGAAGCCCTACTTCCTGGAGGCCTATCGGCCGATCCACAAGGACGACAACTTCATCGTGCGCGGCGGCATGAGGGCCGTTGAGTTCAAGGTGGTGGGCACGGAGCCCTCGCCGTACTGTATTGTGGCCCCGGATACGATCATCCACTGCGATGGGGAGCCGATTAAGCGCGAGGAAGAAGAGGAGGCGCTCAATGCTGTGGGATATGACGATATTGGCGGATGTCGCAAGCAATTGGCGCAGATCAAGGAGATGGTGGAGCTGCCACTGCGCCACCCGTCGCTCTTCAAGGCGATCGGCGTGAAGCCACCTCGTGGCATCTTGATGTACGGCCCACCGGGCACAGGAAAGACTCTGATCGCTCGCGCCGTGGCCAATGAAACGGGTGCGTTCTTCTTCTTGATCAACGGGCCGGAGATCATGAGCAAATTGGCCGGTGAGTCGGAGTCGAATTTGCGAAAGGCCTTCGAGGAGGCGGAGAAGAACTCCCCGGCGATCATCTTCATCGACGAGCTGGACGCGATTGCGCCCAAGAGGGAGAAGACTCACGGCGAGGTGGAGCGCAGGATTGTGAGTCAGCTGCTGACGCTGATGGACGGCATGAAGAAGAGCAGCCATGTCATCGTCATGGCGGCCACTAATCGGCCCAATTCGATTGATCCAGCTCTGAGGCGCTTCGGGCGTTTCGATCGCGAGATCGACATTGGCATTCCCGATGCCACTGGGCGTCTGGAGGTGCTGCGCATCCACACGAAGAACATGCGCCTGGCAGATGATGTGGATCTGGAGCAGATCGCGGCCGAGAGTCACGGCCATGTGGGCGCTGACTTGGCGTCGCTGTGCTCAGAGGCGGCGCTGCAGCAGATCCGCGAGAAGATGGACATGATTGATCTGGAGGACGATCAGATCGATGCTGAAGTGCTCAACAGTTTGGCTGTATCCATGGACAACTTCCGCTACGCCATGACCAAGTCGAGCCCGTCGGCGCTGCGCGAGACGGTGGTGGAGGTGCCCAACACCACCTGGGCTGACATTGGTGGCCTGGAGAATGTGAAGAAGGAGCTGCAGGAGTTGGTGCAGTATCCCGTTGAGCATCCGGACAAGTTCCTCAAGTTTGGCATGCAGCCGTCGCGCGGAGTGCTGTTCTACGGGCCGCCCGGGTGTGGTAAAACCCTCCTGGCCAAGGCGATCGCCAACGAGTGCCAGGCCAACTTCATCTCGGTGAAGGGGCCGGAGTTGCTCACCATGTGGTTCGGCGAGTCCGAGGCCAATGTGCGTGACATCTTCGACAAGGCCCGCTCGGCCTCTCCGTGCGTGCTGTTCTTCGACGAGCTGGACTCCATTGCCAAGAGTCGCGGTGGGAATTTGGGCGATGCCGGCGGCGCTGCTGATCGCGTGATCAATCAGATCCTCACGGAGATGGACGGCATGGGCGCGAAGAAGAATGTCTTCATCATTGGCGCCACTAATCGCCCTGACATCATCGATCCGGCTATCTTGCGTCCCGGCCGTCTGGATCAGCTCATCTACATTCCACTGCCGGATGAGAGGTCGCGCGAGGCCATCCTGAAGGCCAACTTGCGCAAGAGCCCCATCGCGCCCGAGGTGGACCTCAACTACATCGCTAAAGTCACTCAGGGATTCTCCGGGGCGGATCTCACGGAGATCTGCCAGCGGGCCTGCAAGCTCGCCATTCGGCAGGCCATCGAGACGGAGATCAGGCGCGAGAAAGAGCGCGCTGAGAACCAGAACAGCGCCATGGATGTGAGTATTGATTGTGAAATCTAGCTTTCTGCTCTAGAATCTTCCACGGCATGAGTCAATTCTTATTTTCTGGGGTTGAGTTCATCGCTGTGACCGATTGAAAAGTCGATGTGGCGCAATTGAGACACTTAAGCACAGGGCATTGCGAAATAGCGTCCAGATCATGTTCTTGATTTTGCGATAATTTGACTAACAGTTGAGAAAATACTGAGAAATGAAAATTCCTTGCTTTCTCAGATTCACGAGTTGTTTCCTGATCCGCTTTCCTATTTTAGATAAGAGATTTGTCTTGTAACCATAATTGATCTTTGGAAGTGCTTTGAAGACTATGAGGAATCTCTGCTGACAATCCCTTTTTTGTTTTAGAAAAGTGCCTTATTGGCAATTTATTTCTGTTTTATTGAGTAATTGCTGTATGGAAAACGTTCAGAACAACAAAATTGCTCACTTGCATTCTGCTATGTTAGCCGAATACTTGGTCACTGGAAGTGCAGTGATTAGAGAGCATCTTTGTTCCAGAAGTCACAGCTTCACATCGGTTGCGTAATGGAGATTCTTATATAAATATGTTTGCATCTTGTTGCAGATGGACGAGGAAGATCCAGTGCCGGAGATTACGCGTGGACACTTTGAGGAGGCAATGAAGGTTTCCCGTCGTTCGGTGTCGGACAACGATATCCGGAAGTACGAGATGTTTGCCCAGACGCTGCAGCAATCTCGTGGTATTGGCACAAATTTCAGGTGAGTATCTTCAATCATTTCCTCTACTGAGCTGAAAGACAAACTAAAGAATTGTTTTCCGTTCAGATTTCCGTCGGGCGGTGCCTCTTCGTCACAGGGTCCTGGCCAGGGCCAACCGCAGAATCGTCCGGAAGACAATGGAGACGATGATCTCTACAGTTAGACGACCTCTTTTTTCATCTCGTGTGTGCGCGCTCATGAAGCGATAACCCATGATAGATTTCTTTTTCGTTTTGTTCATCTTTTGTAAAAGATTACCCAGGAGAGCGATATCTGGATGGAGATGAGACAGATCTAGCCCGTAAGGAGTTCTTTTCCACACAAATTATTCGTAGAATCTATACTAGAGGGTAATAATGAATTGCAGTTTTTTGCGTAATTTAAACATATATTTCCAACTTGAAAATAAAGAATAATAAAGTAAAGTGTCTAGAACTTTCGCAGCTTCAGCATCTGGTTGTTGCGCCGGAGGCCCATCTTCCGGATGCGCCGCCAGTAGGCTTTGGTGGTGGGATCAAGCTCGTCTAGAGTCTTGGCCTTTCCCGTGTGCAGCGTCCACAGCCAATCTGGATACTCGGAGTCTGGCTTCAGTTTGATGTCCTCGCCAGTTTGATAGAGGTTGCTTCCGCAGACGTGAGTGATCAGTTTGTTGACGTCAGTCTCCACAGGAAGCTCTTTCTTTTCCACCACCGGGCCGAGCTTTCCCAATTTCTTCTTCTTTGACATGGCCGCTGGGACGGCTGAAGGAGAAAATTGATTATTTTGTGTAGACAAACCTCTTTTGTATCGCCTTACCACCAGTGGAGTATAATCTCACCAGAGGATATGTGAGAAAATCCCTATTTATCGAGGAAAATGCCCTGAGAAAACTCATTTTTCCCATATACTGAAAATGTGGTTATGATAATCCGCCTTCCTTTGTAATATCACAGATGGCACTGCACTCACTGCGCGCTCTCAAAGGGTTTGAAAATACACAAAAATCGAAAAGATTCACAAAATTAATATAATTGGAAAATAGAGATAAAAGAAATTCGTTTTAAACAATGTTTGATATTTATTTATTTATTGTATATAAGTTGTAATAATTATTTATAAAAATGTTATGTCATAACAAAATTTCGAAGTAGAGTAGTACTAAAAAATTCATATTGATTGCCGAAGACACAAGATTACAAAAAGCGAATTAAGGATTGGGTCTCCTTTTCCTCCTAAAAATCCTTGTCTCCTGCTTATCCATTAAATGCTCTTGTTGTGTTGTTTTTGAAAAAGAAGAATCGAATTATGAATACAATGGCAATTGACATGAAAAGAATACGTAAAATTTCTAGGCAATTTGCATTATCTCATCTTTTGTTGTTGTTGTTGTTGTTTGTTAGGGAAAGTTAGGGAGAGAGAGAATGGGGCGGTGTAAAGTTGACAGAAAACATGATCAATTCAGCACCCTAATCGATTTAAGGTTCTTCTCACTATTCTCTCAATAAATCAATGATCTTCACCTTAACTAGAAAGATTTCTCCTATAAACTATCCCTCCCGGAGGACTTGCCGGGCCTCTCGTGGTGGAAATCTCGCGAGGGATTCACTCTTCCATCCTTTTGATTGCGAATACATTCGGGGGGAAAGAAACACTGCTAAAGGATTCATGTTTTTGCTTGATTTTGGGGATGAACGCGCGCGATTGATGTGTGCCCGCAAGCCTAGTGAGGCTTATTATTGCGTGAGCTCCTTGCCAATTCGATAGGAGATGATCTTCGACCAGTCAATCTTAGTTCTGGTCACGGGAAGCTGGCGCCGCAGCGCCTTGAATGTGGTGTCCGACATGGTCTGGTAGTTCTCCGAGATGGCAGTCTGATAGTCGTTCTCCGCCTCCTCGATCAGCCGGCAGATCTCCTTGGCCGTCGCCGTGGGATTCGTGGCGATCACGGATTCGCGGCACTCCTTGGACGACACCAGCTGCACATTGCCGTCCTCGTAGTAGTGCACCTGCACCTTCAGGATGCCCTTCAGCTCGGCCGCAGCGCTGCCCGCGCCCGGCGCAAACGACAGCGTCCACTGCGAGCGCCATCGGCCGTTGCAGTAGTTCTTCGGCTGGAACTGGTGATCCTCGATGCACAGCGTCAGCGTCACCTGTCCCGCCTGGCTGCGGCTGAACACGGAGCAAATGCCGTGCCGGTAGTGCGTGGCCGTGTAAATGAGCGCCTCGGCATCGAGGGCGGAGCGCCAGGGCTCCGACACAGCGTCAGTCTCGTGCGCCTGGTAGTCGGACGCCTCCTTCCTCAGGTGATCATACCGGAAGGACTGCTTGGAGCGCTGATCGAAGAAACGCCCGCCGCCTGCAAAATCACACGATATCAGCTCTTATCGCGCCGCTCGCACAAACACCAGCGGATAGAGTGCTATTAGCAGGTGAGAAAGTTATCGCATTCTCGCCAGATAGCGGGATCGTCCGGGAGTTTTCACGCTCTATCGAGCACCCGAGCGGTGCATGTGCAGCGTCTTGCGCCGCCAACTCACCCAAGTCATTGAATTCTGTTATGAGGCCAGGATGGTCGGCGTTCTCCAGCCGCACGGGCGTCAGTTGATCTTTGTTGTACTGGGCGAAAGCGGCCGAGGCGCCTTCCTTCAGCAGCGCATCATTCTTCAGCAGCTCCCGGACGTCGTTGAACACCTCATTGAATTCACCTGGTGGCGCGTGGAGTATGAAATCCGACACAATTCTCACTTTGTCTTGATCACTAATAACATCATCCATCTCGAGATCTTCGGGGGCACGAAAGAACCTGCAAGAAATCACACTCCGACCTGAAGTGCGAGCGAGAGGGCATGAATTGGCATTTTGACGTATGAATCACTTTTTCACAGGGCGACTTTTCTCAACCACTCACCGCACGCTCTCGCAGCTGGTTTCTCTACACAACAACACGGGGGGCACTCTGGGTGGACAAGTACAATGCAATCATGCGTTTTGCAGATGGGAAATATGGACTAATTGGCAAATATTGCGATAAAATAAGTCAGCAAGCGCGTACGTATCGAATGACGGAGTAGAACGGCAGGGCAGCCAATCGCGACACCACCCAGAGAAGTACTAAACTCGCCGGGTGAGAACTGGGGTGTGAGCCGAGGCAAATCCGCCGGCGTAAACCGGTTGTTCGCCACTTTCAAATGGCTGAGCGCTTGGAACAAACCGTCTTCTCTGTGTTTTTCACACAATCCCAGATTGGTCCCAGAGCTCGACTCTGAAACGAGGAGATGTATTTTGAAAAACCTGAAATTTGAAGAAACAATCTAATCACAATGCTGTTTTATAATCCCAAACTGCTGCAGAACAATTTTCTGTTGATCGTGGTATTAAATTCTTGCGCAAGTGACTTTGGCCAGGTAAATTGCTCATCCCTGTGGTGCCAAGCCGCCGCCGCGGTGTTTCCAACTCACTCTTCCGTTGGGAACACACGGCCGCCAACCTCTGCCCATCTCACGCCCAACGCCGCAACCAACTTCAGTTCACTACCACCTCTCGTATCAACAAGTCGCTGCAAGTGCCGCCCGACGCGAACTGATAATTTCCCAGAGAAATTTGGGCGCATTGCCTGCTGCCGAAGTGGTGGAAAAGTAGTGATAACCATCTGCGGGTGCCCTGGGACAGTGCGGAGAGTGGATAATCGGGGGTCCGAGTGCCATGTGAGGTGGAAAAGTGAGTGAGAAATGGTGTCGCGTCCATTGGACAGTGCGAGTTGCTGACGACAAAGGTAAATGGTGAGGAGAGTGGCACATTGGAAAAAATGCCACTCTTGTGAGTCACGTTCTGGAGAAAAATCCGCGGTGAATCACGAGTGCTAATGGATTTTCGTCCATCTTCCCCTCTTTGCAGTGCCTGCCAAGTGCCTTTATAGTGATTGAGGAAAGTGTCCGACATGAGTTGGCGTGATTTGTGGTCCGTGGCGCTCATTTTGGGCTTCGCGGCTGTGTGCGGAGCCCTCGCGGGCAACAGCTACTACGGGGATGAGTACAACTCGCTGTACTCGCCCACGGATCGGACAGTGCTGACGGCGGCGGACAACCGCAAGCCCGCGTTCCGCGACTGCAAGGGCTACGCCCCGTCCGTGAAGGAGGAGCAGTCCCCGGGGACGTTCGTGCTGAAAGTGGAGGCGGACGACCCCGACGAGGCGGACACCATCGAGTACAGCTTCGTGACGGCGCTGTCGGAGCGCCCCAGGTTCCGCATAGACTCGAAGACGGGCGTGATCGTCACGGCGTACACGTTCGACCGCGACGAGCCGATCCGGGAGAAGGAAGTGTATGTGACAGTGCGGGCGACGGACAATGGGCGGCCGCCCCTCGATGATGTGTGCACGTTCAAGGTGACCATTGAAGACATCAATGACAATCCACCAGTGTTCGATAAAGCCAAATATGAGGAGAGCATGAGTGAGGATACTCAAGTGAATCGTGTCGTGATGCGAATCTCAGCCTCCGATTTCGATGACGGAGACAATAGCATTGTGAAGTATGAGTTACTGCCAGAGAAGGATTATCAGTACTTCAGGATTGACGAGACCAACGGTCTCATTTACCTGGCGAGGTCCATTGACAAGAAGCCAGGGCAGTATTACAGCATGAACGTGCGGGCGTTCAACATCATCAACGACTTCCCGCAAGATGCGCAGATTGAGGTGAGTTTTGCCACTTGTATCCATGGAGAGCCTCAACACTAGGAATGCCGGTTGTGTTATTTTGTCGCGCCGCATTAAAATTCTGAGCGATTCTGAATTCATATTGAGTCAAAATGTGTGGGAATTCAATTTGTAATCCTCAATTGGACGATATAAAAGTGAAATGATTGATTAATTTTATATGATTTGAGTTTTTCACTTTCACCTTCGAAACAAAACACTATTTCAATGCACCTTTTCCACAAGCTTGGCGGCACTTAGCGGCAAATGACACTCTCTGCAGTCTTAATGTTAAATATCTCAGGCTCTTGAATTTCATGAAATATTCACCTCCCTTTAGGTGCGAATCCGCGTGATTGAGTCCAACAAGAAGCCACCGACGTTTATCAATCCACCCACGGAGCCAATCTACCTCAGAGAGAACTTCAGTGACTACAGCAAGAGTCTGGTTATCCTGAAGGCACAGTCGAATGTGCTAGACAAACCCGAAGTGATTTTTGAGCTGATCACGGGGCGCACAGAGCAGACAAACAGCAAGAAGACATTCGTCTTCACCCAGGGTGAGGATGATGTGTCAATTACTCTCGGCAAGGCTCTGGACTATGAGGCCATCACGGATTACACACTGACAATGAGTGTGAAGAATACATACGATCTCGTGGCTGAGCATTTAATCAAGATCAAGGTGGAGGATGTAAATGACAACATTCCGTACTTCACGGAAGTGACAACAGGAACGATCTCGGAGAATGAGCCACCGGGGACGCCGGTGATGCAAGTGAGGGCGTTCGATATGGATGGCACGACGGCTAACAATATTGTGTCGTTCGAATTGGCGGACAATACAGACATTTTCTCGATAGACTCCAACACAGGGAACATCACGGCGCTGACGACATTCGACCGGGAGGAGAGGGACTTTTACAATGTCAAGGTGATCGCGACGGACAATTCGCCGTCCAGCTTGTACAACACGGGGCAGCACAATATGGGCCAACAGGTGTTCCGCATTGAGATTGCCGACAAGAACGATCACAGTCCACATTTTACCCGCGATGAATACATTTCCGATAAGGTGGCCGAAGATGCAAATATCAATTTTCTGGTAATTGAGGTGACGGCTGAGGACGCAGATGCCGCGTCGCAGATCACCTATACCATTGTCAGTGGCAATGTCGGGGATGCCTTCAAGATTGATCCTTCAACGGGGAAGATCACGGTCAATAATACACTGGACTATGAGAATATCACGGAGTATTCGCTGAGGATCAGGGCATTTGATGGGGTGTACGAGGATAATGCCATTGTGACGATTAAGATTGAGAATGTGAATGACAATCCGCCGAAATTCCTCGAGGACAGCTACAGGACGACAATACCCGAGGAGGAGATTGTGGAGGGATGCATCCTGAACATTGAGGCGTACGATCCGGATATCAAGGACAGGAACTCTCAGCAGCTCATCAAGTATTTCATTGTGAAGAGCGAACAGCAGCACTTGCTGGCGATCGACAACGATGGGTGTCTGCGGCTGATTCAGCCACTCGATCGCGATGAGCCAAATGGCCACAAGAATTGGCAGGTGATTGTGGCGGCTGTCGATGAGAATGGGAGTGGTTTGCGCTCAGTGACGGATGTTACAATAACCCTGACGGACATTAATGACAATGCACCATTTCTCAATGTGAAAATGCCTGTAATTTGGCAGGAAAATCGCCAGCCGGGCAATATTGTTACGCTGAAGGCGAAAGACTACGATGAGCCACACAATGGACCACCCTTTCACTATGACATTGATCCAAATGCTCCGGAGGATATCAAGGAGAAATTCAGCATCTCAGGTGAGGTCCTAATTGCGATTGACACTTTCGATCGGGAGCAGCAGAAGGAGTATCTCATTCCCATCATGATCAGTGACTCTGGCAACCCGACGATGCGCAATGTGAGCATCTTGCATGTGGTGATTGGGGATGAGAATGATAATCCCATGAAAGAGGGCAGTAGCAGTATTTTTGTGTACAACTACAAGGGAGAATCTCCGGACACGGAAATTGGACGGGTGTATGTGAATGATCCCGACGACTGGGATCTGCCAGACAAATTTTTCTCGTGGAAGGATGGCATTCGCGATGATAGTTTCTCCTTGAGCGCTGACACGGGGATGATCACGATGCTGGAGGGAACGAGAGAGGGTGACTATCGACTGTTCTTTACCGTGACTGAGGAAGCCAGAGACATTCCTCGTCATTCAGTCACTGCAGAAGTTTTGGTGACTGTCCGAGAGATCCCAGAGGAGGCTGTAGACAAGAGTGGCTCTATCAGATTCTACGGCGTGACTGCTGAGGAGTTCATCGTGCAGCCCACGGATGGAAGTGCCGGTGGAAAGAGTCACAAGGATCGCTTCAGAGACGCTCTAGCGCGTACACTCAATGTCTCTGTGGAGAATGTGGATGTTTTCACGGTTTTGAAGCACGACTACAACGCATCGTATCTCGATGTGCGATATTCAGCTCATGGGAGTCCGTATTATCCCCCGGAGAAGCTAAACGGTGTTGTGGGACAGAATCAGGAGAAGCTGGAAGAGGAACTCGGGCTGAAAATGTTCATGATCAACATTGATGAGTGCCTTATTGAGAAGAATAAGTGTGAAGCGTCGTGCACGAATGTGCTTCACAAATCCAATGTGCCACTCTTGGTGTACACGAATCGAACGTCGTTTGTGGGTGTGAATGCCTTTGTCCAGGCGGAGTGCATCTGCCGGGTCCCGACGCCTGTGGTGTGCCTGAACGGTGGCACGCCGTTCGACGAGAGTTGTGAGTGTCCGGAGGGATACGAGGGACCTCATTGTGAGGTGATTGCCATTGGTTTCCACGGGACTGGATATGCAATGTACCCACCAATAAATCCCTGTGACACCACAAATATTTCGCTAGAGCTGTCGCCTCATCGAGAGGATGGCTTGGTCTTGTATGTTGGACCTTTGAATTACAACCGCCTTTTGCCGGTGCAGGACTTCCTTGCTCTCGAACTCGTGCGAGGATATCCCGTTCTTATTGTGGATTATGGCTCGGGCAGCATCCGGATTGAGCACAAACACATTCAGCTGAAGCCTGGGAAGAGCTACACCATTGACATCAATATGCAGCAGACTAGTATTGAGATGACTGTGGACAATTGTCGTCTGTCCACTTGCATGAGTCTTGGAGCGCCTCAGGGACCCAATGAATTCCTCAACGTCAACGCTCCTCTTCAGCTGGGCGGGATTTCAGTGAATCTTGAATATCTGGCATCTCAATTTGGGTGGCATCATGTGCCTCAGAGCCTTGGCTATTCGGGATGTGTGAGAAATCTCACGATTGACGGCCGAACGTACAATATTGGGGCTCCTAGTATTTCTAAGGACGTGGACATTGGCTGCCAGAGATCAATGGCTGTGGCTGTGGCCTTTGGAATCGACACGAACTTCCTGATAGCCATTATCGTGTGCATCGCAGTGCTGCTCTTCCTCATCCTGGCTGTGGTGGTACACAAGAGACACCAAGATGGGTGGCATGAGAAGGACATGGATGACATTCGGGAGACGATCATCAACTATGAGGATGAAGGTGGCGGTGAGAGAGACACAGATTATGATCTCAACGTATTCAGAATGCCACAAATCTACGAGGACAAGCCATACAGCGAGAGTCTGCAGAAGCGAGAAAATCTCAATGAAGTGCCCGACATTGGAGGCTTCTTGGTGGACAAGAAGGATTCGTGCGACAAGGACAATGACGCTCATCCTGTGGACGATGTGAGATACTACGCCTACGAGGGCGATGGCAACTCCACGGGTTCACTCTCGAGTCTGGCATCGTGCACAGATGACGGGGATCTCAAGTTTGACTACCTGAGCAACTTTGGGCCGCGATTCAGGAAGCTGGCTGACATGTACGGTGAAGAGCCCTCAGATACCGACTCCAATGGAGATGCCGAGGAGGGATGGCGAATATAGAAGATAAGCTGGTGAGTACCTTCTTCTTATCACTATCAAAACAATCAGAGTTGGATCAAGAGTCGAACATTGTCTCGCGCAGAGAGAGATAAGAAAGTATAATCTAAATTCCATTTCTCGCTCTCTGGCGGTTTGCGTGAATGATAGAGAATTGAGGCACAATTGATGAATAATTTCTGTGGAAGTCGCTGTCATTGAAGTCTCATTGAACGGAAGAATAAATTTGCGGTTAGAAAATGTGTAACTCACACTGAAACAACTGCAAGAGAATACAGCTAGAACATTCTGTTTGTGCCTTTAGCTGAAAATTACTCATGAAAGAAAGTGCAAAATTGCTGGAATTAGCAACAGAAATCAAGAGTTGAGATAACAATTTTCACACTAATCGTCATTGTGTAATTTGCGCGATAAGAGATTTTAGGGGTAAAAACTGTTATAGATATTTTTATCTCTATCATTATATAGAATTTGAAATAAAGATAACAGAATTCTCAATGGTTTTCGCTACTTATTTGCAACACTGAAACATTTTTGATGTAATGAAACGGAGTGTAGAACTAAATTACGTTCTAGTTTTAAAAATATTTGACTTTTCTCAGATGTATAAAATGATTGAGCTCTGATTGTGATTGATCACAATTATGCTATGTATTGTCATGATTTATTAACATGAGAAATACTTTCCTTTATTTCCCCATCGAAATGTGCCGTTGTGGAATTATGGATAAACATTGATGCTGGTCCATGACACAGAGTTGAATGTGGATGAAATTTGAGGAGAGAATTATAGTGGACATAAAAATTTTACACAAGTGACAGTGGAAGGCATCATCGTGACAGCGCCAAGCAGAGGATGGAGTGAAACATTGTGAGAAAAAAATAATGAGCGTAATATAGTGGTTAAGACTGATTTGTGATTAATATTAAGTGAACGCAAACGTATGAGGAGAAAAATGAACAAATTGTGAAGGGAGATGAAGAGAGAAATGTGAGGAGGGAATCCCAAGAGGATGTTTACACTACTTGGAGGCACGCCGCAAGATTGTGGCAGTGCTTCTTCAAGAGGGAAGACGTTAATCTTCCCCCTGAGATGCATAAAATATTCAATGATGTAGCTTTATTTGTCCCTATGGACGCATGATATGTATCTCACCCTTCTGTCAGTGCAGAGATTTTGTGAAGTGACTTTTTTCTATACAAAGAGACATTTCACAAAATTCTGCTTCTCTCTAACGGATTCCCTCGCCATTGTGACCATTGTTTTCGTGTAATTTCAATCGTTTTACAATTTTTGTTTCTACAACGAGACAAAATCAACTCTCTCTCTATAGTTCTATCCATAATGACTACTCTTCACTGCAGCTCGCTATATCTTTTTAGTGGTATATATAAAGAAGTTGAGGGAGAATTAACGTCCATATCAGGCAACAATTATGCGTAATGGGGAAGAAATCTTGGGTTGAATTTTTGGTGTACTCTTTTCACTCTGTCCCATCGCATACCAGCGACGAGTAAAACAAGAGAATATTGTGTAGAAAGGGAATGAAATGACTGTTTCGTGATGAAGGCCTGATGGAGAGAAGCCGGGGCGCGACAAAAGAAGTTGTCATGTGTGAGGCGGTACAATATAATATATTAAATTGATGTTGGGAAGAAAAAAAAAGAGAAAAAAAAATCCAAATCCACTCGTGGTTCGTTGACGATGGCGGATGAAATGAAACAGGATCTAAAAGACATTCTAGCTGAAGAAAGCAAAATTTTCCCTCTCAATTCTCCACTCATTCTCAGCAGTGAAGAATGGCGCAAATATGTGTGTGGCAAAGGGGGAGAGATTGTGTGCAAACGGAATGATTTTTCGCATTAAGCGAGTCAACAGCGGGGAATGCCGGCTCGAAAAAATGTTATGAAAGAGAATCCATAGTGTAAGCATCGGGAGAAAAACTGTAAATATGACACGGACGCGGTTTCTTGCATGATATTCTCCATCGGCAGTGTTTATTATGTGGGCTTATTTATTCCGAAACCCATTCAGTTGGATATCTTTTGAAATCTAGAGCGTTTCACCGGGTCTCCGTCCCTTCTCAAGTGGTCTGACCGCGCGCGACTGATTGAGCGTCATGACGAAGACGATGAATATTGTCGTTCTCCTCGATATCTTTTTATCCCTGGCTCTCCCTATGCGTTCAATTGACTTTTAACCCGTGGTAGAACAGCGAAAAGACGTAAAAGAGAGGAAAAAAAACCCATGTAGAACAAGCTCTAGCGACAAGGAATCACTTAACGCGCACTGTAAAGTGAGTTTATTATTAGTTTTCTTGAGAGATATGGGGCTCTTTTTTACAGCTAAGCCCCAAAAACATTTCCCCGCGGTGTCGATGATGAGTGTGAATGGAATTCATGTGGGGAGAATCAATGTGAGAGATTGATTTATGTGGATTTTCCACACACTTTCCATCTCATTTCGCTCCCTTTTAGCATCTGAAATTAACCATTTTTCCTCGCTAATGACGCTCAATAACACTTACTATCTTTGGGGTGATGTGTTTGCAAAAATGCCACACGACTTGTCTGGGGAAAATTTATGAGCCTTCTTTCCCTACTTGAATTGCAAGAGTAAACATGCCGAGGGGAGAATAAATTCCATTCAATTCAGAAGCTGTGCATTTTTGGTACAATCTTTCTTTTTTTTGCGATAGTTTCACCGGAAACACTATCCAAATCACAAATTAACAATTAAAAGAAGTGTGCTTCATCAAGTTTGAGTGATTTGTGAACCCCTTTTTCCCATGAAATTCGTCTCAGTTGAGATTGTTGGTCTTTTCGGGGAGCTGACAAAGGGGAATTTTGAGAGACTGAGTGGAGGGAAATTGATTTATTCTGTTTACACATGAGGGAATGATATGAATGGTCAATGGAATAAGAATAACATAAGACCTCTTTTGTCTCTCAGCCCCTCGTTCGTTGAGAGAGACATTGAAAAATTCATATGGAGGCATTTTTGCTGAGTGACTGCTGTACAAACAAATCATCAACAATCATCTCTTGGGATGAAACAGTGGCACAATCTCTCGCTCCTCGCCATTAATCTCGTCCACCATGCAGAGTCGCATGCCAAAAGTACAGCCCATTTAGTCACAATCACTCAGTTGAGGCTCATTTTCCCATCATCTGGGGGCTTGCATGCTTCCCTGAGCGAAAATGAGTGTTTAAACACATGAGCGTGCCTTCACACATGACACCAATTAATTTTCATCCACAATTTGATTGTTTTAATTCAACGATTGACGCTTGGGAAATGATTTAAAGAGTGTCGCTGGGATGTGAGAGTGTAAAAATGCCTCATTGAAATGCAAAACATTCCAGTTCTCTCTGGCATTCAACAAACATTTTTTCAATCAGATTTTTCCACTCTGAGAAAACAAAGAAGAAATTGTAATAACCAATTTCCACGAGAGAAGAGTATAAATATGCACTCAATGGGGAGATGAGTATATATATACGCTGAAAATATCATGTCAATTGTAGTGTGAAAGAAAATGCATTAATGCTGCCTGTGAAAAGGCATCGCGAGAGAGCTATTTCTCTCATTTTCTTCTACAGTTTCCCTAAATCGAACAGAAGGTATAATTATATTGATGTAAAAACGAAATTCCTATACAATGTAACATGTTTGCCTTAATGTCGTAGCCTATAACAATTGTGAGTGATGGCAAGAGGAGGAAAAAAAGAGAAGTGGAGTGAAAGATTTACAGGGTCATTAATTTGGAGAGAAAAGACGTGTAAGAATATTGGGCATGATTTCACTTACTGCAAAGTCAAAAGACTGTTTCGTGTTCTTTACCTCAATCTCTTGCGCAACACCTTTTTTTGCCAACACTGCGAATTTCCTCTGAGTTAACATTATTCCATTTAGACACACTATTGTGTGTATTTGTGTCTCATTGGCATTCTGTGAAAATTCTCTCTGTGATGGGAATTTTCTTGACACAAAGAACGTAACAATTCCATGCAGAATTTTGTGCAATGCTCGGGGAAAAGTTGATGAAAGCACTTTTAAATTGGATTGGGGGTTTGGGAGATTTTTTACAACGATTAAGCGCGGACACACCCTTCTCAATTCCACATATTGCAACAGCTGTTAGCCTTTTTAGCACTTTGATCGTGAAATTCTTCAATGGTGGGCATTCATTGGCGCACCACAACCACTTAATAATTGGTAAATGTTGTGTGCAGAAAAAAGCCGTCTTGATGATTGATTTCATTTAAATGGCTCAAAAGTGTCTTTTCCGAATCACATTCCAGACTCTTAATGTAAGATTTTGTGATTTCACTCAATTCCAATGAGAATTTTCGCATATTTGTCAATCGCCTTGTAATTTATTTGCTCATAAAGACATTTTCAGAACTTTCAGACTGCTTCTCATCTCGCAAGATATTCAATTTCAGCAAAGAATACTCGAATAGCCACATTTTTTGTGTGTGTCTAGCAGGGAGGAAATTCACACTTTGCCAGCACTGGTGAAGGAAGAGTGGCAAAAATGCGCAAAGTTGAGAAAAGTCAATATTATTGCGGCCTTAGCAAAGTAATCAAAAAGAGTAACTATCATATTTCATAGGCATAAGTGAAATTGTGTCCGTTTTTTTTGTCAAAAGAATGATTCTCCGGTGTGACTCAATTTTAATATTAGGTTGAGGAATAGTTATTGTATATTTTTTCTATTATACGAGTATAACCCTTGGGATAACAAATCGTGATTATTGACAAAACATTTCCCTACAAATATATACTTTTCGTATGAAAGCTGCGTGGAAAAATGTCCAAAGAAAATTATATCGGATCACTGGCAAGCGAAGAAGGGCAGCTCTTCTAGGAAACATTGGACTATGTAATGTAACATTTATCCTGGGAAGGGCACAATTATAATTTATGGCTATATTTTAAGTAGGTACTTTGAGAGAAGGAATATTTTATGTGGTCATAAAATGAGAAAGGGAATATTATTATTGAAAATGTACAGTGGTGGGATTCTTCGTGGTTATAGAATTATGAAGGGTGTGAGAGAGATATAAAATGTGTGTGAAATTTTAGTGCATACAAAAGGGGTGGCAATTTGGGAATAAATGCGAAAGGGGAGTAAGTAAATTGTTCTAGAGATTATCCTCACAATATTTTTTTATAAGACTCTGTAAAACATTCTATTTTGACACATTTTATTGTACCCTCACTTGTAGGGAGATTTTATATATTTCATTTCATTGTGAGGCGCTTTTTCAAACTCCTCTGAGGGCCTCACCCTTAATGATGATACATTTTTTGCCACATTCCCGACAGTACAGCACACGTGAAAGTATGATAAAGGACGCAAAGGAGGGCAAAACATAGTTTTATGGGCGTTCGGCGCAAATGGACAGTTAGGGAATGATGAGTCCACCGAAAATTTTTGCATTTCGCGTGACGGTACAAAATTAATATGAAGAGGGGTGGGAAAGAAGGGCAAAATTAGACATTAGGGAAAGTACAAAGTTCAAAAGAATAAATTACAGTCCGTCTGTAATTAATTTCAATCCAGTTTTACGCGAAAAATGAACGTCTGCCGCCCTCAATGTTCGCCCTAATCACACTTTTTCTTGTTCTGGGAATTCTGTCGCTGATCCTTTTGTGTGACTTGAAATTCCATCACACGCCATACATCTGAAGAATTTATCATTCACTGCGACCAAGTGCATTTAACAGATGAGAGTTTGTGAGGGGTAAAAATCTAGGGAATGAAATTGAAAAGGTCCCTAGATCTCTATCCCTGCCACTGTATGTTTTATTGCAGATTGAAATAAAAAGTGCGAATAAATCAAAGGAAAATGTCACGTATTAATTTCAGAAGATGCATATTACAGTAGAGGAAGTTTAAGATGTTTACGGAGTAAGAAATTTTAGCTTAAGGAAAAACAACGTAGTGTAACATTTTAAAGAAATTGATGGAGATATATAGTGTTAAGATGAGGGAGAAAAACTGCCTATAGTGAAGTAGAGAAGAATATTAGATGAATTTTTATACAGCAATTGTGGGCAAATTCCAAATGAAGTAATTTTGCAGGAGGGAAAAAATCTACAAAAAAAATCGGAAAATAGAAGAAAATACTGAAGAAAATGTGCCTGAAAGATATATTAGAATGTATTGATAGCTATTAAGATTGGATGTCGTAATGAGAAATTGCAATTTGGCAAATTAGTGAATATGAAGAAAGAAAATCTTTTGATGTGAAACACGAAATTTGAAATCATTCCATTATAAAGTAGTTACTGAAAGTAAACGCAAGTTAAAACGATTTATAGCTATATTTATTGTGGAGAGCGAACGAGTGTGAGTGATAAGAGGGAATTATTATGTAATGTGGGATGTGAGAGATTTGCAGATTTGCACTGCAAATGCAAGAGAAATCTATTTTGTCTTATTAACACAATTTTTTACATATACATATTTTACATTTAAAGATCTTTTTTTTCTATATTATCTCCAATAAAGATATTTCAAAAGAAAGAAAAAAAAACGACTTCTCTTCTGCCCTTTTTCCATCTGCAGAGACAGTTTCTGTGTAATCGCCGTCGTCCGGGAGTGGAAAATAGTGAAGCGGAGATGCTAAATGAAATTAAATAGTGTCCACGTCACAGTTCAATGAATCGCAACTTGCTATACTTATTACCATAATACCGGAGCCATTCAGCCCGAGAGAGTGCCAGTTCTGTTTCATGCGGAGGACAAATGGAGAGGCGGAAAAACTGCTCGACGCTGCAGTGTTGTTGCCACATGAGTACACATGGAGAGTGCTTTCTTCCTGGCCAAGATCACTCCTTTTTTCCACTGCCGATCAGTGCAATTTTCGCAAGAGCATCTGGATCACATCACAGTGGAATTTAGGGCTCGATTTAGTGTGCTGTTTGGTAAGTCTTTCAAGTATCATTGCGCAATATTCCATTTAGGCAGAGATTCGAGTGAGAATTTTGATTTGAAAGAATTTCTCAATTATATATCGATCTATTTTGGACGGAGCCCTCAAAAGCCCACGCGCGCTTCTTGAGCAAACAGATAAGAATTGAGAGAAACTCATTTGTTTACAGTTGAAACGAAAAAGGTCAAATATCGTATTGGAAATATCACAGACCAAAAAATATACGGGAAAACAGGGCTGCAATTTGTACATTTAAGGCATTGAAGAGAGAAAAAAATACTATTGCTGAGTCAAAAAATTGAATAGGTCTTCCCTATTTTCCAGAGACAAGCGTTCGCCTCATTTTCTCTGCTTCTTTAGGCGAAACGGACCAAGCGCGCACCGGATATTGATCGTAATTGCTTTCCCTTTTTTCGTAAACAGTCCACAAAATGCGGATATTTATGGGATTTCTATCCAAATATTGCAAAAGGACGGATACTCCTCATGAACACTCTCCTCAAAACATTAGGGTTTGTTTTATAACTAATAAACAAGGCCCTAAACTTAAGTGTAGTCTTTTCGTGGTCTCAAGCCATTTGGAGCTCATTCCGCTGAATGATTGACTGGAATCAGAGGGAAATTTATTATCAAAACCACCAAACATCATAAATTGTCTCACGAACGCTGGGAGAAGTGGAAAAAATACCTCTCGATTGTATGTGATTGAAATATCAATCTGTGCGTCTTCTTCCGTGATTATTTGTCCAAAAATAGACTCGTAATCTCTTGTATTTGTACTCTTGTCTTTTTCTCTTTCTCTCTCTCTCTCTATCGACTCTAGAATTTCTCCCTTGCGGACAGGGAGAAAATGCAGGGAGGGCGAAGCAAATGGTTTCGTGTGACTGATAAAGCGCGACGTCCCACGTGAAAAAAAATTCAATTCGTTTATGAGCAGTTTGGAAATCTACACCGGGACAAAATGGCAACGGATACACAACATCATCTGCCCATGAATTATTGCACGTGTGCTTCTGATAGTAAGAGTGGTGTAAAAAATCCCGCCGAACGGCTCCCGAATTGGGCAGCGCATTGCCGGGGCAGAAATATTGCAAGAAGAGTGAATGAACTCCCCGAAAAAAAATGAGAGATCGTGCATTTGCCGTCCCGAGACCGACCATTTGGCTGTCTTCTCTTTCCTGCCATTCTTCGAGGGGCCGCGCGCTGCTTGTGTGTGTGTCTGGAGCACAAAAGAGAACCAGGGTCGGTCACTGGAGCAGCCTCGGAAAGAGCGCACTGCTGTCCAGCGCGAGGTGAGCGCAGTGCCGCCGTTTCTGGCCAGCCTTCGTGTGGGAGGCGAACGAGAGAGAGATTTATTAAAGATCACATTGTTCTGCTTTCGGGACAACATCCAATTGCGCCATAAATCTCATTTGAATCGTGGCTCCCAGATCACCAGCCAGAGTTACACTTCATGGCTCAAGAGTTCCTCTCGCGTTGTCGCGCTAATGTATTGGCAAGATAAGCTTTATCGGCCATTTTTCCCGCAATATTTACAGAATGAAAAACTATTTACTGGCTTGGAGTATTCCTGGAAAAAGGTGTGTTATTGCGAGCAGTACATGGTCAAAAAAATGCAGTTGCTCGAAGTAAATCTCTTAGAAAGTCGCACAAATGCTAAAAAGAAGATGAAGAGAAAACAATTAAAATCCTTTTATTAAACGCATTATGAATGAATTTCTTGTAGCCTGAAGTATAGATAGATAAATTCACGACAAAATACTTCTTAATGCAATTTAAAATCATGTGATAAAGCCCTGTATTTCGGAAGAAGACTATCAGTATCAGACGTTTTGATAAGACTATTTATTTCTGAATGAAATTCACACCATAGTCAATCGATATTCTCGCAATTTTTGCACATTGCCTTTTTTTCCTGTGACTCAGAGAAACCTTTTTTCCAATATTTGCTGCGATAAGGGAGAAGCTAGTAACTGACTTTGCCAGGTGCCAGAGAGACAATGGGAAATAATTCAGTCCATTTCCGGCAATAATGCTCACACACAAAGAAGTCAATTTGAGAGAGACACAGACTCAGGTAAGAAACCTGACTAATTTCTTGTTCTTCACACTTCTTTCTTCACCCGAATCAGAGGCTGAAGGTGAAGCTTTGCAAGAAATCAATTTGGTATCATTCTTCATGCGAAGCGGATCACAATTCTTATGATTCTCTCGGCTACACAAGAGCATTAAAATATCCAATACTTCACACTCGCTGGAATCGGAGTAATAAATTTAATCGCCAATGGTAGCAGAAAATCCATATTTTACACTCGCGCGTGAAAAAAGTGATTTAAGAACGATGAGTAATCTTGGAGGAACGCACAGACTCTCAGTGTGACTTCTTTCAGAGGATTTTCTCAATATGCGTCGCAACTGTGCAATTAAAATTGTTCAAAGAAGTCGCTCTAGAGATAATTATAATGCTCATTTCAAACAATATTCAGTGGGGAATATGAGAAGAGAAGCCAAACTATCTCAAGAATAGGACATTAATTTTTTGCTGGCCACTCGAGTGTTAGTGGCAGTTTTTGGTTCATTCGTAGGTCTCATAAAACGACGCAATGAAAATGTGAGAATTTTCCTGGAAATGCCCACCAAATGAGCGTCTTTTCTTAATACTTCCCACCCAAAGTCCGTGTTGTTCCATTTACCATCTGCGAAATCACCTGAGTCGAGCATGAGTATCAAATAACCGGGCTTCCGTGTTATTAGTTTCCTGAGGTGAAGCCGTCCTCGCGCATAATTTCCTCAGAAACTGCTCTCCAGACACAATTTCTCACTTTCATTTCGACCGAATTGATTTTCTCATGAGTTGTGACTCAACAAACGTCGAGCCATCTCTGGAACGACGACGAAGAAATTAATTTAGAGTAACATGAGTGAGCATTTGACCTCCCCTCTTGGCTTATTAAACGAGGAACTTTATGAGCTCATCAATAATCTCAGATTTCACAGTGGAGAGTGAAGATTTGATGGCCAAAAAAATCATCATAAAAGTCTCTAGAATTACTCTTTTCTCATTTAATTTACATATCGTGAGTGTCTATCGAGGACGCAGGAGAATTTTGTGTACTCACTAGATTTCCACTATTCCCTTCCCGTCGTCCAACCCTTCTCCGTGTCCTTCATCAGGGTCCTGTCGTGTCTGCCCATGAACAGGTTCTGATAGCCGAACTTCTGAGGCGGTGGAAAGAATGTCCATCCTTCCATCAGGGACAATTTCTTGACTACAGCAGCAATAGCAAGGGCAATCGCCATACAGTTTCCTGTCACGGCGCACTTCCTCCACGCTCCGAAGACTCCGCCGGCCAGCGCTCCGCCGATAGCGTAATTGTATGGATCGTCCTTTCCGCGCAGCTTCGTGGCGGTGTATGTGCCCATCGTGAAAGCGGATGCCATGCCCATGATAGGGATGGTGTTGTAGCCGTACCTGACCATGATATTCCCGATTCCCTGAGGCTTCGACAGCATCACCACGTCGTAAGTGGAAATGATGAGACCGCCGATCATGGCATATGTATTTGCCACCATCATCTTTCCCGCCGCATCCTGACCATCTGGATAAGCCCAGAAGCGCTGATTGAACGACTTCAAGGGCCTGGTGGGTGCCTCCAAGTCTTCTGACCTGTCCGGGGAGGAAGGAAAGGAGTGAGAAACAAATACTGAAATTCACCAACAATATGACCAAAAACCATAGAAACTGATAGCACAAAACGTGTATAAGAGCGTTCTAAATGTATTTTAGGTCAATAAATTGCAGATTTCTTACATTTTGCTGGGCAAAAAGCAAAATATTCCCTTTTACGTAATGTGAAAATGTCAAAACATTCAATTCAGCAAGTGCCAGCAATTCGCCGTCAGCTCTGGCAATCTACGGCGAAATTCAGGCGAGGAGAGAAATTTGAAAATCCTCATAACGGTCACCGCTTATCAAATTCAATGGAAGAAAAAATAAATCTTATTTCATTTTATTTCTTTTATTCTTTCTATGTTTATCTATTGAGCAAATTGGATGTTCACAATGACGTTATGTTCTAGTAATTGAAACAAGAAGCAAGAATTCAGCAAGTTATCGAGTAGTTCCATTTCTCAAAAGATCACCTAATGAAAAAATGCAATAAACATTTTCCTTCTTGCATTATTTACAAAATAGACTCACACTAAAGTTAACAATAATCACTAAATTCCTTCAACTGCTGAGTGAATCCATTTGGCCACGAAATTTCAACTTATCAGTCAATTTTTTTTACATGAAACTCTTTTCTTCTCTAATTATTAATTTTTATACTTAAAATTCTATATCAAATTTTTCTGCATGGCAAAATCTCTTCTATGTTGTTTCTATTCATCTTCCTGTTTTGGTAACTCTTTCTCTCCCTCCTTCTCCGCGGTGTCTTCCTCTGCAAAAACAACGAAAGGGAAGTTTCTTTTTAGTAGGCAGAGTAAAGAAGAATCATCTTATCTCTACCTGGCTTTTGATTCTCTTTGTCCTCAGATTCATCTTTCACTTCTGGCGGATCTAGACTGATCAGAGAGAGGGTCATCTTGCTGCTAAGAACTATTGCTCCTTCATCTTCGTCCTCTGTCTCGACATTCTCCTCAGTTACAGCGGCGTCCGCCACCAAGATTTGCGACTCATGAGGCAAAGCTCCCTCCAAGAAGATGCTCTGCGGCTCTGGCTTGTCCTCCGCATCCTCCGCTGGGGACTGAAAGGGAGGAAAGCAATTTCGAAGGCATTAGACTTCAGTTGGGAACACAATCTCTTGCAGGTGCCTTTCTTGGTGATAAACAATGAGATGATGCTTACATGTGGTCGAATTTGTGCAGTGAAATTCGGCGTCGGAGGGCGGCCACTCCACTTGTGTCCTCCCTCGCAACTAGCAGTCATTTCCATGCCCAAAACCTGTTTGGGAAGCACATACAGCGAGCAAGCGGAAGCCACGAGAAGGAAGAAACACACAAATCATCCCTCGTTTTGTACATGTCATTATATACAAGAAAAGAAAAGCCATGATCACCGAGATTCTCTCCACTCTCACCTTAACAGTCGCCCTTTCACTGCTGAGATCGCGTTTTTTCCGCTTTGTGGTCTCCTCTTCGGGCACCTCCACCTCATTCACGTGTCCATTGGCCAGTGCTTCCTCTGTTGCTGGCTTCACTTGCCCATTCTGCTGATAAACATCTGTTGAATTCTGCAGAAAAGATATTTTTTTTCGTGAGGAGCAATGCGGAGATACATATCAAAATTTTGTGAATCAGAGCATCTTTAAGTTGAAGAAAAATACTTTTCATTCACTTTTGCAACTAAATATGTTTATCTTGTACGATGAAGAGTGATTAGAGTTGATAAGGTTGTAGTTTTAGCGACCAGGCAATCATGGCACGCGATTCACTGCATCTTTCCAACTCTGATCAGTGGCTGAGAGGCGTGTTAACCAAGTCAGATGATTGCAATAATTGCATTACAGAAAAAAGCATAATGTTTGCATATTTTCATAAATGATTATTCACAGATGATTTTTTTTCTTCTTCAAATGAGATGATCTTTCGAAGGGAAATTCGAGGAAAGTTGGAGTGGAAGAATTAGAAGAGTGTTGGAGAAAAGAAATGAAATAGAAATTATTCCATTACCTGCAAAGTGCAAATTAAAGTGGGATGATTTTATTAATTTTATTATCAATGGCGACGATGGAGTTCAAAGATCTCTTTAAATTAACTGTTGTTTTAATAAAACACCTTTTTTAATTGGACAGTTATAAAAGTTTTGGTTTTATGACAAAGTAAAACAAATACGGAAAAACGCATGGATAGTTCTTGTCTGCTAACCTTGCTCTTGTCTGTGCCATTTTCCTGTCTTTTTAACTGCTCATCAGCCGCATCTATAAGGCCTTGTATAGCCGTAACGACTAATAAAACAATCTTATTAATTTTGTCCAAAAGTACACCACAAACATTCAGGGGAGAGAAATTGGTGTGTAATGCTCACGATGACTAAATATGCCCTTTTTGCACAAATCTCAAAGAATCAAACATACATTCTTGCAGGAACTGCTCAATATGGATGGCAAATTCATAGATCAAACCCTTCGAATTTTCTTTCATCTTTTTCTTCATCTGTTAATTGCCTACAGAAATAACCAAAAAAAATTTCCACATAAAATTTTGGGAAAGGGAAATGTGATGAAAGTGTATACAAGACAGTATAAAGATAAACTTCTATTTAAAGCACTAAAGCCATTGTAATTAAAGTCTTCATGCATAGAATGATCAACGCAATTTGCTGATGACGAACCTGATCTCCGCCCTTCTTTGCGGACACCTTTCCCAACTCTGCAATGATATTGGCCATTGCACTCTCCGTCTCCTTCAACTTCTTCCTCAACAGAGTGATCTCCATTAGTTGTTCATTCTCCTTGTCCGAGGAGGAAGCGAAGGCATTCGGTCTGGGCGTCGTATTGACTTCTAGAATGGACAATTTTATCGTGGTCCACAGAGGAATATAAAGTGTTTCAAGGGGAAGAAGAGAGAGAGAGAGAGAGAATAGACAGATGAACAAACATGCACACAGCACAGAGTTTACATTATTTTTATCACCCTAATAATTCAATATTCGTCTTATTTTTGGCTACACTCACAATTAATAATGACAAGAAATCCAACAAAAATATTATTAGAAGCTCAGCAAAAAGACTGCACAGAAATAGCGACAATTTTGCATTTCGCATCCTTTTTTATCTCTGCTTGTTTTTTTTTACACATAGTAAACAAATAAATATATATATAATTAATTGCGAACAAATTTGAAGTGATTATTAAATTAAATATATATTTCGTGACACGCCAGAAAGAATAACGACCATAAGGAAAAGAAGAAGCGGAAAAGAGGGAAAAGAAATTCGAAGTGGTTTTCTTCAATCATCCTCTACAAGAAAATTTTGCCTCTACTTTTCAGCAAAATATATATTTTAGCAAATTATTTCTATTATTGAAAAGATCAAAGGACATATTTGTAGATAAAGACCTCCCAAAGGTAACAAAGATAGACAATATTTCTAGATAATGGGTTAGAAAGTCTCTTACTTGCTTCATGCTCTTTCCATCCTAAAATTGTGTTGTGAGCATATTTATAAAAATCATACAAAATCACGAGCTTAGTCAATTGATCTCCACCCAAGTAAATGAGTTTTAAAAATAAGTATCACATGTTGGGAAATGAAAGAGTGCCTGAAGTATTGAAGTGTGCTTCAACCTTTTAAAAATGACTACATTTCTCTCTTGCTTGCGCAAGTTGAGTAAGATGTTATGTATCTAATCAATGTAGAAGTGAAGAATAAAAACTCTTCTACATTAAAACACCTTCCAAATAGTGGTAGCGTAGTAAGTATTATAAATTAAAGGTGTAACGAAAAGTCAATCTGAGTGAACTTTTAAGAAATAAGCAACTTCGCGTGATTTTCACTTGAATATTTCCCAACAAGATATCATCCTTATCACAAAATTTTGAGAAGCTTTCAGAAGAACGCTTCCATGGAATTCTTAACCCGGACTTACTACGCCACACTTTGTAAGTAAATCAAGTAAATATTGATTAATGATCTCCTAAACTCACCCAGTTTTGATGATGTTCCATTGTCAGGCCGTTTATACCCAAAGACAGTGCTGACGAAGCTGGGACTCTCCTTTTCTGGGACTGGATAGGGTGAGTCATTGTTCTTCTTCATGACAATCTACAAGAGAGCAAGGAAATCGCATTAACAACGCGCACGATTTGGCAAATGGCAGGCGAACGACCTTCATCAGCGTGTAGATGAAGAAGGAGACAATCCCAATGGTGTACAGAGGCATCACGAAGCCCATTGTGTTGGTTGACTTCTGTCCAGTGGCCTGATGGACTGATCCGGCTCCCATGGGCGGCCGTGGCAAATTGGGCATGGGCCGTGGCTGGCGAAGACGAGACACGCAGTAAGTCACAAATGTTGGCCATTTAATCACACCAAAAATAAAGTCAGTGAAGAAACACATTAATCAGTTGGCGATTGATGAGAAATTGACGTGGGGCTGAGCTTTGTGAAAATAAACAAGAAACCCGCCCGCAATTGCCGCCACACGAGGAAAGTTTACACACATGATAATCATCAATGGAAAGTACGTCAAGCGGTGAAATTCGTACATTATAAAATTGCGCGCCCCTCAATTGCCCACGGCAATTGAGCCCCATTTTACCGGTGACTTCATCCAACAATCGAAAAAGATGATGAAGATACAAAAAAGCAAGCTTTCGTACGCTTGTTTGGCAGGAAGTCAAATTTGCTAATTTTCAGAAATAGCACTTCGCGCCTCTCACCGTGTGGGAAAAATACCAATTTCTTCACAAGAACCCTCTCTCAATATCTTCGATTCACGCATTTTCTCTATTTTCTCAATTTCATTCATTACACTTTCCTTTCAATTTCCAACCGTATTTACATAAAACATCGCCTCCATTGGTGATCCCAATGAAAAACTCCAGAAGCCACCTCATAATTCTTCCCCCTGTAAAAATATTTATTTTCCCAAGTGCTTCTGAGTGAAAGTCTGTAATGTGCTTCCAATATAAATTCTATCTTATATCAAAGGAAGAGACTCACCCGCCCATCAACCACACGAGTCGATGATGACGATCCAGGTGCACTTGGAGCACTCTTCTCTATAATTGGAACGGTTTGCGTGGAGGGTATTGCTCTGCCTCGCTCCCTCATAGCCGGATGCACGGTGTCAGGACGCATATGCGGAGGCCTCTCTTGCCTGATGCCTAGAAATTCCATAGTTTATTATGGATGGAAGCCAAAGAGTTATAGACAAAACACTTCATAAACATATCCGCATCCGTTTCAGAATCAGAGTTGGTGATAAATTGGAAATTTTAGTTAAGGATAAAACGTCTTTTTCTGGCTGTTAAAGAAGCATAGCCAAAGTGTTCAAGTCAGAATATGAATTTCAGTCCTGAAATTCCATCTCTAATCTTCTCATATTGCCCTCTGTTGACTTTAAAATAACACGAACCAACCAGAAACTATTAAAATTATGTCTAACCGATGAATTTTAGCTCTGGTCTAGCCTGAGGTGAGACTAAGTTTCTGACTTGATTACTCTGTTGTACCTTTTCTGTTCTCACACTTCAATAATAATATTGTTAGAGATTATTTGGAAGAAGTTTCTGGGAAGAATCCCAAGAGTTTGTTAGTTCAGCGAGTATTGTTAGTTTTCCACTCCCTTGAGGCAATCTCGTGTCGACTTACTAATTTCCCCCGTGAACAGATTGATGCTCTTTCGAAAGATTTTGGGGTGTTCCATGGTCGCGAGGGTGGAGGAGACGTTTGCAAATTCATCTGAGTCTAATACCACATCACAGCATCCTTTGGCGTGGACATTAATGTCATCAATTATGATAATTCACAGCGAAAGTCTGTGGCACCTTACCTGATCCCCTGTAGTCATTCATGGGCAGCTTCTCCTGCCCGCCACCCATCAGCATCGGGTAGAATACCTTCGGCCAGAGGATGGCGATGCACCCAACGACAGTGACCAACACGAAGAAGGTCTTCTTGGGTCCCAGACTCTGTGTGTCCCCTCGCATCTGTGTTGCTGACGACACGTGAGCCATGTCTTGGCTTCGATGGCAGTTCTCTTAAGGAAGACGAGAGTAGAGGCGTCATTAGGATCTGTGTCACTTTCTTAATTACTCTGCGTCTTCTCACTTTTCGATCCTACAGCAAATTCACTCTTGGAAATCACACTTTGCGGAATCAATTAACCCAGTTCAGATGCAACTCATTGTCGTGATTTGTTGGTGCATTCTTCACGCATTGGTGAATTGGATAAAGCGGTTTTCGCTCTTCCACCCCAAAATCTCTGCCTCACTCGCGGAAGACTGAGTATTTTTCTTTACAATTTTATTTTATCTCTTCTCTGGCGAAAACGAGAAGAGTCGAGCGGCGCGCGCGCCTCAATGTCACGGTAAAATGTTTTAAATGTGCACGTCGCGACTTTCTTCGTGTAAAACGCGCGAAAAATGCGACCTCTTTGGATATTTATAGATCCGCGCACGTTCTGTGTGGACACCTTAATTCTTGTTACTCTCTTATCCTTCGGTTGTGTATTTTTTGTCCACAAACTCCTCAGTTACTCTCTTTGGGATAATTTTGGGAAGTCCTTCAGGATGTCATCGCCCAGGAGCGATGTCAATTAATCAGGGGTGTTGTGGCATTCAATTATAAAAGATGTACACGCGTGATAGTGCAAATAGGAGGAGAATAAACACACAAAAAGCGGTTATATAAATAATACGAGGACTGATATTTATAGCACACAATATTTAGCTGATGCACAGAAATATTAACGATAGATTAATTGTATAATCTCTGATCTATTTCTATAGCAACAACTGTTTTTTCGTTCCTTTTACTATTTTTTTTAATTGTTTTACGGGGATTTTTAATTTAGTCGTCGGTTTGTCGAGGAGGATCAGAAAGAAGGCTTGTAAGTCAAATAATTTGAACTTAACTCGTCGGAGTGCTATTCGGAACTGAAGATGAAAATCTCTTCTGAAGCGGAGCCAGCCGTAGCTCACGAATAGGCTGAGAAGAGCGCTTCTGATTTAGTGAAAGAGATTCCATTGCTCACCATTGTTTTAACACCCTTCGCAAAGAAATTCAAAGAAATTGCAATATTTTGATGATTTTGAAATAGAGAAATTGACAAAATCTCGGGTTTCAAAGTGAAAATGTTGAAATTATGTGCAATCCGACCACACAATTAAATATTTCCCATTTGATAGCAAAAGCTGTGATCCGTGTGATCCCCTAAAAATTAGACATAATAAAGTTATTACCCGCTTTAAAAATAAACACGCACAAATTGTGTGTATAGCAAAATATGTATGTCTGTAATGTCCATTGTGGAATTGGCAGAAAATGTGTTGTTGTAACCGTTTAACATGTGTTCTAGAGGTTAGGAAAAGAGGGTGAGGTTTTCCCATCCCTTTTGCAATTCCATTTTCCTGTCATTTTCTCTGGTTTTCACAACATTCTTTAATTCCTAAAACAGCAATCTTCCTGCAGTAATTTTTAAAGAAAAATTGTAAAATCATATGCATTCTGCGTTTGTTTATCAAGGATTAAGCGAAAAATCAAGTAAATTAAGGGGAAAATTATGTATGTTTTCCGAATCCGCCCTTTTCACACCAGTTCCGCTCCTCCTGATAGAAGTTTCAATTAATTCACCAACAAATCCGCAAATGTTTCTCACTCCTTTAAATCTCAATTACAAGTAGATCTTTTCTGGAGCAGAACAAAACAGAAAACTCACCTGAACAAGGCATTAACGCGGAGAAAATGGGAAAATATCAATTCACTGCATGACCACAAAAATCGCACCGCTCGAAAATCAATGAAAAGTTCGCCGTGCAAATTCAGCACTTCGCCACATTTCGCCGCAATGCTTGTTTTTGTTGCTGCTTCGTATCTTCTCATTCTTTCACTACGCAGTCGGCGTGCCGTGAAGAAGGTTGGTTAGATTGTCCCCCAATATTTCTCCACATGTGGAGTATTTTGCACTGTTTACAGAGTAAATAGATTATTGAGAGTCCGTGGTTGTTGATATAATTGTGGATTTCGCGCTTAACATGTGCTACTTCATGGGAGAACGGGCTAAATAAAACGTCTTATTAACTCATCTTGCCAGACGACTTTTTTTCCGTCTTTGTTCACCTTCTTCGAGTTTTTATCAGTATTCCCAGGTGTCAATACCCCAAAATTGCAATTCCTCTGGAGATTCGTGTGGTTCGTGTGCCAAATTTATGACTCTTTGCCAACGTAGAGCCTTCCGCCGCGTGGGTTTTCGTGTGACACCAACACTCACGATTCGCCTCCGGGTTGTCCGGCAACTTTCTAATATCTTTTTGCACAAGTTGTCCCCGAAAAAAAAGTGCCCAACTGAATTAATATTCTCTTTTTTTTGCTGCAGCATTACGAGGAAAAGTGAGAAAATTTGTTGAGACGCCACGCGAACGAGTGCAGAAGGAAGAGAGGCAAGAATGAAGGACGTTGTGATTGACCTGCATGTGAGAGAGTCGAACAAAGGGGCCCGAAATGGTGTGACGGACTATCGCAAATCGAAGGAGATGGGCCTACCTGCGCGCTTCTTGTTCGAGTGCAGCATCAAGCTGAACCAGAAGCCCCTGACATCCGCTATGGCGGCCATAGTCTTCCATCGCTTCTTCAAGGAGGCCGACAAATCGGACTACGACGAGTTCCTGATCGCCGCCTCGGCTCTCTACCTGGCCGGCAAGCTGAAGGACGACCCTGTAAAGATCAGGGATGTGATCAATGTGACGCACAACACGCTGAATCGCGGCGCCACGCCACTGGAGCTCGATGACGAGTACTGGGCCATGCGAGATGCCATCGTCCAGGCGGAGCTGCTCATCACGCGAATGCTGAAGTTTGATCTGTCCACGGTGCATCCGCACAAGTACATGCTCCACTATATGAAGTCCCTTCAGGGATGGCTGGGCACGCCTCTGTGGAACGCCACTCCCATCGCCAAGACCTCGGCTGCCTTTCTCCAGGACTTCCATCACAGCCCTGAAATCCTCAACTACAAGCCTGCTCACATCGCTATCTGCTGCCTATCGCTGGCTATGCAAACCTATGGCGTCCAAGTGAGTGATCTCTATTCTCTTTATTTATATTGATGCTCCTAATTTGCAAGTTCAGCAGAACGGAAATGAGCCTCATTCAACTCATTTTTGCGTTGTCGTCATCATGTTACACGTTATGTTTTTTAAACAGTTTCAAGAATCTGAAAAAGCACTGCAATGCACATAATTGCCGAGTTCTTGAGCTACTCTGGATGGCAACTGTGCCAGTTGATTTTGTAGTATACTCAAAATGTGGCTTTCCTACTGATAAGATTATTGTGTCATTCGATAAGAGTGTTCAGAGGCTTGCCCAATGACTAATTAGTAAGTTATCTATTATTTCAGCGCCAAATAATCATGATACAATTGTAGATTAATCAAAATATAGATATCGAAAGTCTAAGAATAACACCGGAAGAATATCGAAAGCTTTATTATCTGATAAGATATTTTGCGAAATTCCATATTTAGAGAAAAATTGAGCAGTTTTGGATAGTATTCTGCTTTTTACAAATTAGATTTCGAGGAATCATAGACTATAACATGCTTTTAAGTGCATAATTTTGAGCTTGCTTTTCACAACCAAATTTGTGATTACCAAACCTAATGTGCGAAACCGGTTTCAAACGACCCGAGCTTTAAAAAAAGTCATAGACCGCAGGTCATCAACGTTGAAGCGAAAATTAATGGAAGGATAGAAGCATAGGAGAATTAGCATACATGGTTAAGAAAGACTGAGTAAAATTTTCTAGCAATAGATAAATGATTGATTGAGAATGTTTTGTTAAAAACTACTCCTATTGCAATGTGCCCCATTCTCTCCTATCGACTATTTAATATCTCTTATGTCTTATCAATTGCGCGCTATTCAAGAACAGTACACGTGCTGAGTATCACGTTATCTGGGAGTTTTTGAATTTCTCAGTCCAATACATTTAATTAGATTAATTTTATGCGCATTTTATCACTTTTCCCTTCACTTTCAGGTGCCACTCACGAATGAGAGCGATGAGAACACCAATTGGTATCACGCTTTCGTGAATGACTTGTCCAAGGCGCAGCACTGGGAATTGTCTGAGAAGATCCTCAAGATCTACGAAACCACCCGTGACGAGAGCAAGTACTACTGAAGAAGATGCTACATTCCAGACTCTCCATCCTTCGGCACAATGTCTCCATGCGTCCCTGAGTGCTTCCCGGTCACACGAATCCGGAAGAAGTGACAAATTTTCTCATTTTCTCCTCTTGCTTTTTTTTTTATTATGCTTCTAAATAAAATACCCTGATTGGTATTAACAAGATGCGATGCGAATGTGGACACCAGTGTCACTTGTGCCCCGCGGACGATGAGGTGGGCGTGAGAAACCGCAGAATGGATTCGGAGGGATTCCTGGTGCTGTTGGGCGTCTTGGGACGGTCTGAGGTGGAGCTTGAGCGTGACTTTCGGCGTCTCGGTGTGCCGGATTGCGGTGATGTTGCTTCTCCGTCGCGCAGGGACTGGATCCGGGGCGACATGGGACCCGCGGCGGGTGAAGAGGGACGTGGAGAAGAGCCGCCGTCGCCACAGGTGAGCGTGAGAGACGAGGCCACCTGTTGAAGCTTCTGCTTGCGGATCTTCGTGAGCCAGTCCACGTTCTCTTTCAACTTTCGCTTCGGCGAGGTGATTCGCAAGTGGGGCGCTTCGCCGTCCATGACGTAGTTGGGCAGATTGGATGTGGGCGAGAAGAGTGGGACTGGAACATGCGATGTGGATGGTGATTCTGGAGATTGTATAACGTTTACGCGTTCAGACAGAGGAGAGGACTTTGTTGGGCTCTTCACGGGAGATTTCAGCTCATGCGGTGGATTATCCGTCTCAACGGTAGCTGTGGCAAAAAGCCGACGTCCTCGGGGTTCAATGTGGAGTCTCTTTGCATCACCGAAGCGAGCTTCTCCGAAGTCATCATCTAGTTCAGCGAAGGTTCTCTTTAAAGCCACGCGACCACTGGAGCTGGGTGTGCAGCTTCCATTGTTCCACCACATTTTGGGTGTTCCTTTCACGCTCTTCTTCACTTTCTTGCCGTAATCGGGATTCAAATACGCCCATCCGCGGTAGTTTCTCGCTGAGGGTTCAATTTCTATCGGTCCCACGCGCCAGATCTTGTGCCTAGCATCATCGCTACAAGTGACCAAACGGAAATCCCGCGTCCCACTCCACGCCACACAGCTCACCTCCACTTCCTGCGACGTAGAGTAGCTCTCATCGCCTGAGAGAGTAACCACGGGACGGGGATTTTCCACATTCCACACATACGCCTTCTCATCGCTGCTCCCGCTCAGGAGATACTGTCCATCAGGGCTGAGGCAAGCTCTAATGTAGTAACTACTGTTCTTGAATCCTATGTACCTTTGCAGCGGCTCCCGATCGTACGAAGAGATATTGTAGCAATAAATAGTGTTGTCCATGCAACTCACGTACAGTCGATAGCTTCTGGGATCTATGACAAGATTCGTGAATCCCTTGAATGTGGATGTGCCTCTATAGGGAAGACTATGTTTGGGCAGCGGTTCCTTCTTGTACGCTGTGTAGTTCCTCCTGAGATCCCACACCTTTACCACACCATCTCCAGCACCGCACGAGATCAGCGTATTCTCATACTGGAAGCCCAAGCCAGTGATGCTGCTTTTGCACGCATTTGCCACGTGAGACTTTTTCAGGCGGCTCTCATACGACTCAGCGTGGCCGCTGAGGATGCAATTATCGGCACGAGGGATGTGCGCCACACTGGGTGAGATTCGTGTGTCCCAGATGAGGATGGCACCGTCCCTGCCGCCCGTGGCGAACACGGCTGAATCCTCATGGCGAAAAGCCACAGTCTTCACGCTGCGCGTGTGCCCGGTAAAGGTTCTTAAGTGCACTAGATCGGACTGATGGACATCCCAGAGGCAGGATTTGCTGTCGCTGGACGCCGATACAATCTTCATCTCTCCTGGCATCCACGCAATGTCGCACACGGCATTATTATGGCACTGATAGCCGGGCAGTTGATAGCCAGCCTCTTCACCGAAGGGCACCTTGTCTGTATCGTGAATTGCAATCTGGAATGCAAGCTCTTTAGACAGATTCCCAGAAAATCCATGAAATTTCTTACCTTCCCATCCTCATTGGCGAGTGCCAACAAGTGCTCGGCATTTGCAGTATTTGCAAATTTTGCTGAATATATCGGGGGAATTAGCGCATACTCCCCGTCCAACACTGACGACGACAGTCCTCTCCAGTTGTCTTTCACGTGGACACACAGACGGCTCAGAGCGACATCGTATTGTCGAGGAAAGGCTGAGGGATGAAAACAGGTATTAGGATCTTCCTGCCACTTGGCAAAGGCCGAAGCCCGGCTCCACTTCTACCGGCCGCATCTCTCGAAATACGCGAGATGTCCAGAGCCTCTTTGGCGATCGTGAATCAGCACTCACCGTTGCCCATTTGTCGCTGCAGTAAAGCTTGCACAGTGTTCATCATTTTGGTGAAAAGGGAAGTCAACGAGGGCAGTAAAACATAAGAATAACACCATTTACGCGCCAACAGACTTCTTGTCAAACACTAACCTTCGTTCAGTTTTGGTTTGTAAACATGCCGAAAACTTGGGAGTGGGGGAAAACTCTTATCCCCTTAACGGTTGTCTAGTAAAATAAGAGTGTGCCAAAAGTGTTCCACAAAGCGAGGATCTTTAGTTCTCCACGACAGCCGGACAGCAAGCGGCAAACCGAGATATGCAAATTATTTCAATAAAATGCATTGAATAGATTGAATATAATTAACATTTCTTATCTCTCAGAGAATGAACTGAATACAGGTCAAATCAAAGCTCGTCATGGATTTCATTTATCGGGAATGCGGAGAAGGATTTGAAGAAAGGGTGGCGAATCACTGAGAAAGCGGCCATAATTTCTTCAAAATGAGCATTGATCCAAGTAAGAGATTTCCATGGTGGACTTTGTATATTATCTACAAAGTCATATGGAAGATTCAAGTGTACAAATGCATGATCTGCCAATTTCAAAAATCTCGAATTAATTTTAAAATAAAGTATCAGTAAATTCTTTTGATCGACATTCCCTCTTATGATAAGAGACGTAAGAGATTTTTACGCCACGACTCAAAGACGAACTTGTGACGCGTAAAATATTAGCAACTTAAGAAGTGATGTCAGTGATATAACCTCTCCCAAAGATACTCACCCAAAAAAGACGGAATGTTGTGAAAATTTGTGATTTCCCTGGAAAAGTGTGAGTGTGGATGGAGAAACTGACTGTATGGAGCGACAGGACTTAACGGACATAGAGAAAGTCGAGAAATCCAAGCCCTAAGACGATTTTTCTAGACAGAGAAAGATACAATGGAGAGGCAGTGGAGATATTTTTTAATCCTTGTATGGATTGGATTCACATTATTCTGCGGTATTCATATATTCACGAATGGATTCCTTTTGACGCGAATGGTGCAGAAGGAGCGATCGTCCTGTGTCCACGTCCCAGCTTCCTGTCCACAGAATGAGGTGAGTGCTCTCGTGGTCAGCCGGCGATTCGTCACTCTTCATGGATACTTTTATTGCAGACCCACTGCACTGCGTCGACGAGATTGAAACAGTATTTGGACAATGCCAACTTATCAGACAGTATTTGCCTGCCCCAGAAAAGCAGAGTGATACTCATCGTTATTGACGCGCTGAAGTATGATTTTGGAGTTTATGATCCGGGCAAGTATCTGCTGAGATTCACTATCTTTATGGGCAGCTTCTAAAACTGATGAATGTGTGCTCTGATTTCAGGTCTCCGGACGCCTCTGGCCTACCAGAATCGCATGCCAATCTTCAGCGAGATACTAAATGCGCATCCCCGTCGAAGTCGCATGATGAAGTTTCTGGCAGACCCACCGACAACCACTCTCCAGCGACTCAAGGGCATGACGACGGGGAGTTTGCCCACGTTTATAGACATTGGATCCAACTTTGCCTCGCCAGAGATCAATGAAGACAATATTATTGATCAGATCGTGGGGCAAAATCTGTCAGCGGTCTTCATGGGCGACAGCACATGGACAGATCTGTTCCCGGGACGATTCTCCCGCCAATACTCATACCCAAGCTTCAACATCTTCGACCTGGACACTGTGGACAGACGAATTGAGAAGCATCTCCCGGGAGAGTTGGAGAAGAACGACTGGGATTTGCTCGTGGCGCACTTCCTCGGTGTGGATCACTGTGGCCACAAGCACGGACCCTTGCACGGCGAGATGAGTCGGAAGCTGGGCGAAATGGACGCCATCATCAGGAGTGTGATTGACGCAATGGCCAACGACACAATGCTGATTGTGGTTGGAGATCATGGCATGACATCATCGGGTGACCACGGAGGAGACTCCGAAGATGAGCTGACTTCGCTGATTTTCGCCTACTCAAAAGGCAATGATCTCACCACAAGAGGAAATGTCTCAGCCATGCAACAGATTGATTTGGTGCCAACACTTGCCGCAATATTTGGTGTTCCTATTCCATACTCGAATTTGGGCACAATCCGCACAAATTTGCTGCCAGAAGTGGCGAAGACTCCTCGGCTGGACACACTGCTTCTGCATCTGTGGCAGAACGCCAAGCAAGTTCAGAGGTACTTCCAGCACTACGCCCTCACGAATCTGGGCACCTTCCGTCCTGACCACATCGATGACTTGCACAACAAATTCCTGGTACTGTCGCATCGTGTGAACTCCATCTACTCCGATGCGGCATTCATGAACTTCGCCACGGATCTGGAGAGTCACCTGAAGGGCATTCTTGTGACGTGTCACGATATTTGGGTGCGATTCGACGACTTATCGATGGGACACGGGCTGCTGATAGCCATTCTGACGGTGTTTGGGTGCTTCTTGCTGTTTCACAACTTGAAAGTTCGCCAACTGGACCAACTCTTCAGCACTTCCACCGTGACGACCATTTACTTCAGTAATGTCGTCTGTGTTCTCGCTATTGTGGCACTCAAGCTGACCTCGGTGACTTCTATGAGCTCCATTATGCTCTATATGGCGGCATTCAACTTGTTCATCCTCGGACTGTTCATCATTCAGAATTGGAGCAATATTGTGGAGAACTGGAGTGAGATTGGAAAGTTTTCCAACACTGTAACCCGAGTGGTGTATCTGATGTTGGTCACTGTGTTCTTCTCAAACAGCTTCATCCTCCAGGAGCCGAAGATTCTCACGTACATCCTCACGGGGATGCTACTGTATGTGCTTTACGGCCTGAAGAATGCATTCGCGCCCGAGCTGGAGCGTGGCAAGCGAAGACTTGGGGCAATTTTCTCATCAGTGCCAATGCACCTGATCGGATTGGCGTGTGTGGCGTTGGTGTGTCTAAGAGTGACACACTTGTTTTTCCGATGTCGTGAGGAGCATGGAAATTGTCTGGAATTCTCATCGGCTGGCAGTGGCGGTGGCATCGGGACGACAGCGAGGAGAAAATTAGATTTGATTGCCGTTGTGGCGGTTGCACTCTTTGCCACCCTGACACGAATATATCTGCGAAGCTGTGGCAACTTGGCTGGCTTCTCATGGAACACCATCTTGGCACGATATGGCCCGACATTGGCGACCATATGCACCAGCGGATATTTCCTTCTGTCGCCAACAAATGCCGCAACACCTGGCATTCCGCAAATTCACATTGATGCCATGGCATGGATTGTGGGTGGAATATTCCTAGCGCAAGTGCTCGTGCTCATGTACCGGCCACTGATGACATATCTGGTGCCACAGGGCGTGCCAGATGACATAGACATGACCACGGGACGCATGATACCGGATCTCTTTAGGCGACTAAAGAACATATATTGCGAGAACACGGAGAGGAGCAAGATACCGATAATTTGTGGCCTTGGGACTGTCTATTCATCAACAGTGGTGTCCTATTTTGTCATCTCAACTATCCTCGTGTGTCTGCTCCTTGGCACAAAGGCGACCACTGGCCTCTTTGTCACCATCCTCATTGCAGTCGTATTTATTATCCTCACTGGCATTCTGCGCTACCAGACGGCTAAGAATCTTGGTAAGTCTGCACAGTACAGTTTCGGTGGAAAAATAACATTGCAAATTTATTTCCCAATCCTCCTAAATATTGTTAATTAATCACATTGCCTCGTTAACTGATTTTAATAATCCTGATTATGTTGTTAAAAAGATGTCAGAAAAATCTACACCTCAGCCAGAGTGTAAAGAATAGCACGAAAATAGCACTAATATTTCAGAGACTGCGAGTATAAACTAAAATCATAGATGGCAAAACCTTTCCATTGTTGCCTCAGCTAAGAATCCTTTGGGTTGATAAAAGTGATATAAATGATATCAATTGCATGTTGTGCGCAAGTATAAATAAAATCAATTATCGTGAATTGCTTTATATGAATCAGCAATCATATGGCCTCGAGATGTTGTCAAAACATTTCTTACCATGATATTGTACATTAATTGGTGGTTAGGCGACAAAACGTGCGATGCACATAGACTTAACTAATGGCCATCCGTTCTTCATTCGCACAGAGTCTTGCCTGCAGCCCACTTTTGCCACCCTGGTGGTGTGGCTCCTCCTCATCCACTTCACCTTCTACACCACGTCCCACCAGACGACACTCTCGCAAATTGACTGGCATCCAGCCTTTGTGGGCAGGACGGCGTACCACGATCACAGCAACTTCATTTCCGCATTCCTAGTCATCATAACAACATTTTGCGGTGCTGCACTCCTCGGTACGGTCTTCCCGCTGGTCACTCTTGCGCCCTTCTTCATCTACACGGCGCTGCCGAATTTGGCGGCTCATCATCGTGATTTGGCGCCGGAACGACGACCTGAGCGCCTGAAGACAAGCAACAATGTGGAGTATAGAAGGGTGAACATCGCCAGTGTGGATGAGGCCACTGGGGAGGCGACGAGCGAAGTGGAGTGGGACATCACAAAGGGCGAGCTCAATTTATTCGAGAATGGGCCACTCTTCATTGGGGCCATCTTCAAGAGTGCGTGCCAATTGATGGCTCTCCAGGGACTCAGGGTGAGTTTGAATCTGCTGTGGATTTTTTCATCTTCCTTCCTTCCTCTCTTACCTTGCCCCAACCCAGAGGCAGCCCACTTTTATGTGTGGTAAACACACATCTTATCCGCTCTCCCGTTGCCATATCGCCATATACACGTGAAATTTTGTAGCCGAGAATCATCCAAATGAAAATATAAATCTCCGGTTTACGGGTCAATAATTTAAGAATTTCCATAAAAGTCTTCTTTGGCATATATCTGCACAAATATAAATTTCTTTCAATAACTTATAATCTCCCGTGGAATATCATATGAAAGTGGGTTGGCGAAAATCTGTGAATTCACCTGATGAAACAGTGATTCAACTTTAATCCATGCACTCAACTTTCTGAGAATTTTCATTATAGACTTGCAGTTTTAGCATACGCCACATTTTCTCCGAATTTCAAGTGTATTTGATGCAAATTTCATGAGCATGAAAGCAATCTGTCGTTCATTCACATAAAGAGCACAGTGAAAATCTATTTGTTTGGGTTCTTTCTTCGAGCTGATTGTATTCTTTTGAGTTTTCCTAAGTAGATACAAACAAATCACATTTTTTACTGGAGAGTTAAAGATGTACAAAAACATTGAATGTTCACTAGCTTATTCTTGTTAGGAAATTTAGAGCGACAATTGAAGCTGTTATCATCAGCCACGTGATGTCATGAAATTCTTATTTAATGCAATTTCAATTCAAGATTCTTTATAATTTTTTTTCTTTTTCAAATCGTTTCATTAAATTACAGATTTAAATTGAGAAATTAGGCAAAAAGACCGAACAATTGACTAGAATAATAAAACTACGTGAAGCTGAATTTTTGATTCATGACACAAATTTCTATACCATTATACATATTTTCTATGTATTGGATAAAATCAATGTTGCCTCTTGAAATTGAACAAGAATTTAATTGAATTGTAAATTTCAATTTCCACTCAATACCACCAATTGTGCATTCGTTTTAATTCACGATGGCAAATCATTATTTATCAAGGGGATCGCGGATGTTTTTCAGCGAAATAGTAAACAAATTTATCAGTCTTTTTTCCATCCCACACATTTCGGCAAATTTCTCTTTAAAGCAATCCACTAACCAATCATAAATAATGTAATTTGCCATAGTGAGTGTCGAGTAGCATAAATTAGGTCTGTAAATATTTGCTGAATGAAATGCCAGACTCAATTTAATGTGAAATACTTTTCCTGGGTGGGAAGATGGAGTGAGAGAGAGAGAAAGAGACGCAAGTTTATAAAATAGAGAATATCAAGACAGAAGAGATGCGCTGTTAATGTAAATTAGGAATTGTGATTTATTCAATCTTCTGTGAGATTGCATTTAGTGAGCAGTTTTTTTTCGTGAAGTGATTTATACTCGTATTTCATCTGGCTGCCACTCTTGGGAATAGTTTGGTCTGTCTCTTTAGGGCAATTTCACTTCAGGTGGATGATTCTCATGCAAAAATTCTAGGATGAATAAACTCAGTGTTATAGTGTGGGAAAAATTGTGGGCGGTGGAAATTAATATTAGAAGAACATAAAAGAGAAAGTTTATGGCGACAGGATTAACAAGGGAGTGTCAGGGAGGGTGGGCGAGGAAAAAAAAGAAACCGAAGTGGCTGAGAGTGAGAGAAATAGAACAGACAGGAGCGAGAGAGAGAGAGACTTTTCCACCACAGTGCCCAGGTTGGGTGAGTCTCTATTTTAAAATTTCTGCGGATAACTTCTCCCTCTCGCAACGCGCTCAGAGAAGTGATGGTATAATATGCTTTTACTTTTAGCAACTTTAGTGGATATTGAGAACAGTATACGATCGTGATGCTGGTAGTAAAATATTATTATACAAAACTTCCGGAAAAGTTGTCTTAGTATAATCCTATCGTCTTTGCATTTTTTCTCAGCACCTCTCAGCCTCCCTTCATACTCATGTTCTTGTACCTACCTTGCTTTTCTCATCCGGAACAACTTATCCACATCCCTATCCCGTCTTAGGGAATTTCCACTCGTTCTCCAGCGTGCGAGCACCGCCCCGCCCGCCATCCAAATATGTACGGAGTCCCGGGCGGAGGAAAGAATGTATGGGCTCCGGGCCGAAAGTTGCTCTCCCACGGCATCTTGTTGTAGTCTCTCTACACAAATTTTCTGCTACACCATTTTCTGCTCTATAATAAAGTGTAAAGTGTATTTGGTGGATTGAAAAAAAGTCCCTGAAAAGCATGGCGAACACCACTGCTGGGAATTGTGATTCCTTGGTTGGCCCTCAGGGATTTGCACAAAAACGAAACTAACTTGTACGCTAACTCGCACCTGCACTTGCTCTGGGTGGAGTGTGTGGCAAAATCACTCTTTTGAAGTTACTCAGTTACCGAATTTGAATTACATTCACATATACATTTATAACTTTTCCTCAAACAGTGAATTCAATGTTGCATTTGGCATATGTATTCTATATTTTTGGCCAAAATGCATAATTTTCTACAGAGTAGATAGCTTTTTAAAGAAACTGAGCTATTTCAATTAGAAAAACAGAGAGAAGAAATTTGCCAAAAATGCGGAAAAGGTGGTCAAAAACCTTGTCACGCGTGAATTTAAACTTTGTATACATAGTTGACATTGTGCTTCGAGCTAATTAGTATAAAATGTGAGGGCAATTTCAGGATAATTGAAATTAGTTTCAAAACACGCGAAATGGGGTTTAAGTTTTGCAATCTAGTTCATATATTTAATATAAAAGATATTTTAGCCGTAAAATCGCTGTCCATGCAAAATTCATGGAAAATTCATGAAAATAAATGATCTCTATTGAACTATCAGAAAAGAATTTTCAACTGTATCTCAAATGAAACTTGTGCTAGAAGTTTAATCAACATGTTAAATTGTTGCGACTATTTTGTTAAATATGTAGCGTTTATTAAAAAGAAAGAAAGAAATGAATGCCCAGGCAAAAATAATCACTTCTTTTTTCATTCAGTTCTTCCTTCCGTCCGCGTCCATGATTTCCCTAGTGTATGTGCTGAAGAATTGAGAAGCTTTTCTTAAGAAAAACTTCATCGCTTAATTGTTGCATCAGCTTTTATTGACAAAACATACCCATAGCGTTTTCCTGTAGTCGAATTAATCAGTGGTGTTCCATTTAAACTCGTTCTCAATATCTGGGAATATTCTCGATGGCGAATCAGAGCTTTTTGGGGGTGGGAGAAAAGAAAGGGAAGACGAAGGACGTGGGTGAGAAAGTGGGTTGGAATAAAATGAAAGAAAATGGAGTGAGAAAGAATGAATATGTGGGTGAATTGACGGCGGTTGGGAGGAGAGGAAGGTAGAAAAAGGGAAAATATGTATAAAATTGCCCTCTCTCATGTTTTTCCTTTCAGATTTTCTGCTCAATGCTGGCCTGTACAATCCACTGTCGGCATTTGATGGTGTGGAAAATATTCGCACCACGATTTATATATGAAGGTATTTCCACCTATGTTCTCCTGGGAGCAATTCTTCTCAGCTACTTGATGCTGATCCGTGTTCACAGGGCCGTAGTAAATCTCATTGTAAAATTCAGCAAATCTAATTAAAAAGAGATACAACAGTGAAAAGCAGTCCAATTCGAGACTTGGTGAAATTCGAACGAGGGAAGCTCAAAGAGAGAGAATGTGAAATTGAATTCCTTCACTGGTATTTTCTCTTTTATTTATTTTTATTTTATTTTTTAATGTTTATATATTGTAATGGTATCTTTTGACTAACAAACAAATTTAAACGGTTCTTATGATTGTAATTGTTTTTTTTTTATCTCACTTTAGTTAGTATTCTTTTTCATCTCTTATATAAGGTGACTGTCTATTTAAAGTGTTTTCTTCTCCTCTAACGCCTTCATTTTTTCTTTATTCTTTAACTTCAATGGGATTATTATGATTTCTTTATTGAGTCCTTCTTCTGTGTAAATTGTGTTGTCTTTTCATCTCTCTACTTGTTCACTCTTTTCTTTATCTATCTCATTTGTCTATTCTTGTGTTTCAGCAAATGGGAGAGATGGTATTTCGCTAAAACATTTTTAAAATGTATATCATATTATGTAATTTACCATATACATTTAAATTTATATTTCAATTCAGAGAATAATTAAAGATTGTCATATATACTCTACGCAACTGAAATGATTTTTCTGTCTCATATCTTGTTTACTCGTTTAACCTTGTTCATTTAATCTTTATTTCATGTAATGTTTGCCAAATACCACACCATCTCAATGCTCATTCAAGTTTGTGCCACTTCGTGCATTGCATATTGCTTGAGGAGTGATTTTTGTGGCTTCAAGTGCACAGGAAGTCTCGCGAGTGAATTTTCAAGTTGCACTTCATTTGCAAATCACACGATTCGAATAGCTCTAAATTGCGAATGGTGGAATCAACAGTTGCTGCTTGGCAATCTATTAACTCACGATTGGTAAGCAAACACTCCTCAAAGTCTACCTGAATTGGCACAAATTGCGAGATGGAATTCATTCGGAGTGGTATTTTAATTTCTCCTCTTTCCTATTTTCTTATTGCAAGTCTTTCTGAGTAACACTGACAATGTTAATGAATTTTCTCAAAGAGTGTCCTCTCCACTGGCGGAGTGCACTTTCAGCATGTCCCACACGGGGAGATGTTGAATGAAAGATAACGGGCAAGAGAATAAGTCGGGGAGAAGGGAGAGAAAGCGTTACAATGGGGGAGTTTTTACAGTATTAAGGAGTTGTGTGTGTTTGGGGGGCGGCATAGAAGTTGACGGAAGGGAGGGGGACATTTTAATTAACTTAGTGAATCTCAAAAATGTTTATCACAATCCTCATGTTGCAGAGTGCATTTTCTAACTTTAATAGTTTTATAAACTTGCTTATATTTTCTCACTTTCCTATTTAATAATTCAACATGCACCAGAGAATGTTAACGAGGTGAGGAATGAAAAAGAGTTGTAATATTTTTCAACAAACAAGTTAATTTCATCATTAACATATGAGAGACATGGGGCGGGGGCTGAAGGGACGCGGGCGGCTGGAGAGACTGTGGAATACTCAATTGATTTTCGGCTGGCCCCCGAGAGCACGGAAAAAATACAACATTCACGTGTGAATATTTTTTTTAAACCACCGAGAGAAGGAAAGTAAAGGGAGAGGAAAAATAACGCGAATGCCTCTGAAATATTCAACACACGCAGGACACGGAGTCAATCGTCCACCAATTTACATTATTTACACAAAAAATTATTTATACTTGATTTCCATCCTTTTTTTATATGTAACTCTTCGTCTAAAAATTGGTCAGAAAGTCACAAAATTAGAGAGACTTCACGTCTATTTTTTTTTCTTTCTTCTTCCTTTTCATGACAACATGAAATAATTTGTTAAAAAAGATAATATGTTCAATTTGTTTGTGCTTCACTAATTAATTTCCTTTCCATTTCATTTTGCTCCCTTACAGGGTGTCTCTGTCTCAAACGTCTCTATTTATTTCCATGCATGACACTCGAATTGAGACACTTTGTAACATACAAACCTCTTTAGTGAAGAGCTTTCCTATGATTTCATGCCATATTTCGGGTGAGTTTCAGAAAAATCATATTATTGATTAAGTTATTCATCATTTTCTGTATTCACATTAATAATTTTCTTCTAACGTATTTTTTTTATTATACTCCTTCCCCTCAACATCTTTACTGATTTCGTGTAAGTTCATAATTAATGTGTTTTCACCTTGGCCCTCTCCCTATTGTAATATATATATATATATATAATGTAAATTTATCTATGTACACATTTATACTGAATTTTCTGTAGTTTTTCACCTTCTCTGTATATAATATTTATAGTAGAAATATTCCATTTTCAATCTCTGTTCTTTTTTTGGTAAAGTTTTATGTGTTTCTTCTGAGAGATTATTAACAAATTTACTCACTATGTTGTCTGAGAACTAATTCTGTGTTGCAGAGATTCCATTTTACTCCTAATTCATACCGCACTCAAGGATTTTGCATGCGCTCAGCGGCCTGCCAAACCGAGCCGGAAGAAGATCCTGCTGACGAGGATCACGGCGAAAATGCAGACGCCGACGAGATTGCCAATGCAGCTGAAGATGCAATTGGCAGAGGAGGTTTTTCGCCTGGAAATCGCCGCCATGTTGTCCCCCTTGGACACGAACACGTAGATACTGGCAGGTTCTGTATTGCTGGCGGAACACGTATAGTTGCCCGAGTCACCGATCTGGGGCTCCCGGATTATGAGGCGACTCTGCGTGCGCGGTCCGGGCGACGTCTCTATGCTGATGTCGCGCCGAGAGTCATCGTAGTTGATCATGCGGTCGTTCTTCTGCCAATAGACGTACTGCGGCGGCTGGGGACTCTTCTCGATGATGCACACGAGATTTATGGTCGAGCCCATGTCCACATGCAGCTCGCCGTTGCCGAGAATGAATGCCTCTGGCACGACGACTTGCAAGTTCACAAAGTGCGATATCACGCCGTTGGCCGTGGACACCTGGCACTCGTACATTCCGTGGTCACGACGCTGGACAAACTTAATCTGGAGCGTCCAGACGTTGGAGCCGGGTGTGTGAAGGATGGCAAATCGCTCGTCATTTGTGTACATTTGGACCCCTGACGAGAGAATGTGCCAGTCACGGCGACGTATCCAGGAAATTTGGTTCTGCAAGAGACGCGAAAAAGACACAAACCCGTTCGCATATAATTTCTGTCGCAATCTATGCAAATTTCAACAAGTTCACAACATCCACAAGGATTCCACAAAGTGGCAATATTATTAAACTGATTGTCTTTCGCAATTTGCACCCAGTGCGAAGTCAACCTCATGAAAACTTTTCGCACAGACCGCCGAGTTTAATGTGCAAAGATTGACAAAAGATTCAGTCTTCTGTGTCCCAATTACTCGAGTTTATCAATAAAAGTATGCAAAAGAGCTCACTTTGTGACATGCTAATTTGCAAAAGTTAAGCGGAAGTTCATTAAAACCAAATTTGATGTATTATAAAAAGGGAGTTTTTCCTCGTAATAATTCTGTGAAGTCTCTTTAAGGTCGAAATGACCCAGAACTATATTTCACAGGGCAGAAATGAAATCCAGAATCTTAATAAAGCTAGATAATATAATTAAATTCTCTTTACGCCAGAGGAGAAATGCATATTTGAATAATTTGTTGAAATACGCCATTTTCCACTCTTCTTAGTAAAAAGAAGTCATATTTTTCCCGTAAGTTGAAAATTTCCGGTCAACACACGACAGAAAATATAGCCTTAATAAAACTGTGCTCATTTTGGTGAGTAGAGTGCGAATATGAGCACACAAAGATGTGGTGATTTACATGAGTTTGAGTGCGACCACGTTACGATTCCTTTTAGTGCTCAAAGTGTTAAGTAGATCTCGAAAAAGGTTTGCTTTGCATCTTTCCGCCTGACTATTGTGTGGCAAAATGTTCAATTGTGGAACTACTTATGTAAAGTTCTCTCCAGCCTGCCAACTGAACCAACATGAAATGCAAATCAGCAATTGATTGCTGATAAAGAAATATGACTGAATTAGTTTTAAAATCTTTTGCTCTGGTTTTTGCACATGCTCCAAAAGTGCTGAGAAAGATTTAAATTGCAATAATTCATATGTATAACAGTATTAACATTTATTTTTATTTGAACACGGCCCAAAAGGTGCTAAGGATAAATAATATCCTGCACAAATTTATTCACCACTTTTGACGAGTGTTTTTCTGGCAAAAATTCAAGGAAAGCTTTGGATGAGCGGAAAAATATAGTTTTGTTCACGTAAAACATTGACTTGTTGGCCTTATTAGCTTTTTCCCTTCTAAATTCCATTCAACAGTCACTTTATCAACTAAATGCATTCCTCCCGGGAATTCCTCAATAACTTTATTCATAACAATTTTGTGCTTTTCCCCAGGCTTTTCCTATCAGTATTTAATCGGCTGTATGAAAAGGGGTTTGCGTAACTTTTTGAAAAATTGTCACTATAAATTCTGTTTTAAAATGCCAAGAGGAACTTTTAAGGAAATATGTAAGTATTAGGATTTTATACAAAACCGATTTTAATTTCTAAAGTTAATATTGTACTGTAGTTCCGCTATTAAGGACGATTGTTGCAAAGAAACAAATTACTTTTAAAACTGTTCAGTAAAACACATTTCAATACAAAGTTTCGTTTCGTCTATTAAGTTTTGAATGCTATCCATTTTCTATGCAAAAGAAGTGGGCATTCTCTTCAATTTTCCATGTTATTTCACACTGAAAACATAACTTATGTCAGACGAAAAGGAAAGAAACTTCATGCGAATTCAGGGAAATAAAGTCGTTGAGTGAAAATTTTGTATGATTCGCGTTACATAATGAAAACTGAAAAGCTCGTATTTCAATAAAGCACTACAAAGGCTTTTTTCCCCTGTCAGACAACATGCGGAGCAATATTCTCAAAAAATTTATACAGAAGAGGGTAAATGTATTCTTGCATTTTACGAGTAGCTGTAGTTTGTACAATATGAGAAACTTTTATCAATCCCGTAGTTTGCCTAACATAACAATTTCATATATGTTCACGTGTTTATTAAATTATGCAAAAAATCATGCTAACTAATTTGAAACATTTATGAACCTTTACCAGCTGAATGCCATTCACTAGTCACACTTCATGCATTAAACATTCTTCATTGAATGATTTGTTGTAATATTTATTGGTCGGATATTGCTAAAACTCCTGCATTTCCGTTGATAAAATCTGTAGCGCTGAATGAAAATTACATTACTGTATAGTGAAATTGAAGAAATATGTAAATAACTGCTTTTTGCTGTTGTTAATTATGTCGAGTAATGTTTAATATTTTTTTATTATAGCCATAAATGTTCAGATGAAAAATGAATTTAATTTGGTAAGTTTTTTTTTCAAATTCTCTCATCGATTATTCCCACACAACAAATTTGGCTTCTTTGCCTCGTAAATTGCGTCTTCTGAGGCGGAATGGTAAAAGCTCTCAGCTGAAAATTCAGGAAAGCCCCATGGAAGTCTTGTCTCTTCTATACTAGAGAGAGTCTCACGGGGAAAACCTTTTTTCGTGCTCCCAAAAACGCAAAAAGGCACGAGAGGTAGAATTTTGTAAATGAGAATAAATTGGGTAATTTTATGATGAAGAGATAAAGAGTTTTTTGATAGGTACGCCCATTCAAAAAATGACGTTAGCTTGAAATTTATGAAGTATTTTCTGATACACCAGCGAAAACATGAAAGATTCGAAAGCAGATAAATTTTGAATCAATACACAATTGCACAAAAACAGTACGCGGAATTCAAGAGTGAAATCATTTTGGTGAAATCACCAATTTAGTTAGTGACATTGCTATAATAGAACATAAATACATTTCGGATATCACTAAATGGATTTAATGATTTTCATTTAAAATTGGAATTTCGATTATATATTTGAAATCCAAAATATATCAATGTGGACGGCTAGGATGTTCACCTTTGCACAATGCCACAGCTTACAGTGCGACAATATGTTCGCGAAGCAGGTAAAACGGATTTGACTTCTGTTTAAAATTCCATTTTCCGTCAAATACATTGCTGATATTTGTAGTTGAACTATGAAAATTGTTTAAAAAAGTGTAGCAATTTCAATTTTCAAAGTACCAGCGTGGATTCATTTGCAACACAAACGTTTAAGTAGCTGTGTTTGACTTGCTGCCTGACTCTGCTACGTATAATTAAATAGAGAGTAAATTTTCAATGGATCGACGCTTAAAAAATCTCATTATAATTTTTCACACAGCAGAAAAATATCCCGCGTTAGTGTAAAACATTGAAAATAATTAAAGACAAAACCACAAAATGGCTAATACCAAAACTCTCTATCCATCCACAAAGTGCCATGTGCCGTATTTTCCCATAAAATACGCCTCATGATGTTTTCTCAGCATTAATTCGCATATTGTCTAATATATTTGCTATAATATACAATATAAAATACAATAGATTGCGGACAAAATTTACAAGCACGATGGTGTAAATTTGTTTCCGCTATCGCAATGGGTGGTGGAATAGCACATTAGAAAAACAGATTTTTCACTTGAGTTGCAATTGAGCCTGAGGTATGATTTTAATTTCCTCATGGATGCGGCGTGAGGGTGGAATGGAATTAATTGCTTTCTGGGGGCACAATTTCAGGAGTCACGAGAGCGAGATGCAGATGAAAGGGATTACTCGATAAATAATCACAATGATGAGGGAGCGATAGTGGCGTTGCATTTGGAATAAATGGCATGAAAATATTTGTGAAATACTGCAAGAGGATGTAAGCACAAAAGTTCAATGGAGATTGTATCCGCTGGTCATCGGATGCGGCCTGGTTGGGAGTGCAGGAAAAAAGACAATGGTGTAAGCTGCTTTGCGATTAATGAGATCCCGCTGGAGCTGCATGAAATTATGTTGCTGGCAAGAGTGTTTTAATATTCCCCATTCAAATACTATTCCAACACCCGCAAGTGAACCAGACATGAATTGCTTCTCTAAATAAATAATCTCATATAGTGAAAACACGAGTTCACCATATATTTTAGGAAATATTCACAATTTCAACTCCCCGAAAACTAATCTCAGCCTTAAGAGATGGCTTTTTCTCTGAACAACTCTCTCCCAAACTGTGTACAATTTCCTCCACTCAATTAAATAGCCTGAGTAAATTTCACGTCTTCCGAGGCTATCTCTACAATTTTCGCCAACTTTCGTGTGTAGAGTCTCCAGCAGGACGAGCCTCGCCTTTGAAATATGCAACACAGTCTGTCTAAAGTTTCAACAGGGGTGTCCTTTTGCAAAAGTAAAAGCAGATATAATGCTCTGCCGCATTCACAGAAAAATAAAAGTTAATTACATTTTGTACTTTTGCGTCAAATTCTGGCCTCAGAAATCCGATATCGCGCCGCTACGGAATATCAAGTTCGTCCTTTCACCATCATATTGTGGTACTGTGAAATCTCTTAAAAAGTCTTTCAACAGTCTCACTCACCCCTCAACGCCCACCCTGAAACTTTTTGTGTGTATTTTAATTCCTTCTGCTTCACACAAGAACAGCGAGGCTGGTGTTGGGCGAAAGCACTTGGCTGGGAAATATCTAGGGAAATTTCCAATACAGTTAGTCTAGTTTAGTATATTTGGAAAATGGCCAGCATGACATTATGTAGCTGAATAATTGGCATAATTACAGTTTAGTTTTCGGCCGAAAAATGTAATTTATTCAAACTTCAAGCATATTAAATTACTAAAGTCTTTTCTGCAACTAAATGATTGCCTGAAAAACACGGTTTTATTCTGCAGTATATGCAGCAAAGCAAAATATTGACAACCTTAGCATCTGAATAAAATGAATGAAATAGTAAATCAGAGAACTTACAACTTTTCCTTTCAGTTGCAAAACAATTTAATACTATTCATTTCATACTAACGGAGAGGTGTAAAATGAAAATTCTGTACTGCAATTTCTAAGAGAGATATGAAAAAAGTTTTCACTGAGTTCTTATTCAATTTTAAAAAGAATATTATTTTGAAAAGGAAATTTCATGAGCTGAATGTAAAATTACTCTACCCTGCTTTGAAGAGGTTACTTGATTTTAATTGCTTTTACATATTTATTGGCTA